GGGCGGACAGCAAAGTGGTAGTGATGCCTGTCATCACGAATATGGTGCTCGTTCGATTCGGCTTAGGGCCAACCAAACCTCTGATCCTCCGGGGTCGGAACATTGTTATCGAACTTGTCTGGGAAAAACTCACTCTGCAATCCAATTGGTAGCGCTCCATTCCGGCTATCTCAGGTCTCCAGGGGGAATCGCTCGACTAACATTCTGCAACATTCAAAATGAAATGAAAATCCTCAAGCAGCAACAGGTGCCACGCGTAAAGTTGAAAGATCTTCATGGAAAATGATTGTGAGGAGACGAATTGAATGTGAGAAGTGCTGTGATCCGCACAATAGACGAGAAGACGGCTCAAACAAAGTAATGTAAGTAAGATAATGTCAAGTAAAATGCTAACATTATTATATCATCGAGGTCTTAAAGTTACTGTCAAATCTCATGTAACCACTAAATCTAGTGTGAACAAAGTACTGTTTATCCTGCCCTTAAATTCCAACGAAATATGGACACAGAGAAAAATAAGGACAGAGGATAAACACGAGATAAGGAAAAAGAGCAAGAGAGTATAAGACGCATAGGACAGGAACGGAATATTATGTTAAGTTTATTTAAAATTTAAATTTAAATCAAAATTTATGTGAACGGAAAATTGTGTTAAGTTTTATCTGCTTAGGTTATGAAAGTGTTTGGCTGAGTAGGTTGTACATCAATTTGCTTGACCTTTGCAGACTCGGAAGGACGCAAAATTGTCGAAAAGTTAGCTATTGTGAATTAGAAATGCCGTAATGACAACCTCATGTTTGTTCATCAAGAAAAACGGAATATTGGTCATTCCCGAGGTTGAAAGAAAGTTGGACCTTGGAATGTATGAAATGCTAGGATCCGCGTAGTAGATGTGAAGGCGGGTCATGTAAAATTAAAGAAAATATGTGTATTGCATGTGCTACTGTGTTCTTGTTCCTGCTGCATAAAAGACACGCAGTGCACCATTGTTTCAGCATCAGACTTCCCTTGAGGTCTCGTTTTTGATTTAGCGAGCACTCCACTACTTGTGTTTCTGTACAAACTGATCGTCGAGAGGTTGTAATTTCACAAACCACATATGATCCTTTACATGTTACTTAATGAGAACGCTTCGCTAAGCGTTAGAAGTTTGACAATCCCCGTTTACCTGCTTGAGCCTATTGAACCATACATCGGTTCAGACTTGGGACTAATGGATATTTTACTGATGCACATTTAGCTGTGGTTAAGTGACAACTGTCAAGTCTACATGAGGATACAAGAGGACTACAACAAATAGTACAGTATTCTCCTCTTGTGAACGGGATCGAGTATTTGATAGTCATTGCTTGGTTTCAAATCAACACATATGTGCACACAATACGGGCTGATCAACACTAGTATGCTATGGAACAATACTGTTGTACATTGACTGTATGAAAATATTACACTAAAGACAGAAACGATTTGAACAGTTTCATTATCAAATTCCTTCTAAAGTATCTTCCTTTGCGAAGTCTTCACTATCAACGCTCACGTTGCTCCCTTTTTCTTCTGTTACCACACTTTCATCCACTTCGTTCATAGTATTCTTGTCGTTATTTGCGTCCTGAAAAGTGAGTGAAACACCTCCAAAAAATGTTAAACTTAAAAAAATGACTACTGAAACTTGAAAGCTGTGTTAAAACTCTCTCTAAAGCTTTCGGTGTTGATCGCTCTCTGAGAGATGTGCCATGCGTTCTACTTCGTTAAGCATCGTTGGAGGTCATTAAATGCACATTTGGCCTTTACAATGACTCTCGGCGGCCTACCGATGTATCAATCCAGTGCTGCTATCCGCCTAGACAAGTCTGCTACTAACTTGCCGACTCCGGAGGGATTAAAGGCTTGGTGAGCCCCGGGCACGAGGATCGGTTCCATATGTGTGTCACAGGGCGCCTCCGACCACTGCGCCATACGCGCACTTGCTGTGGTGCGAGTAATAATTACGATCGCAAAAGTTATAACATATGGAACATCGGGGATTTCTAAATGTCGTAATGATATTGTCATTTGGCTTCACATGTGAAGAATTTACGAATGAGGAAATGAAAGGGTAGACATATGCCTTCCATGATACTATGGGAAAAGGACGAATTCACTACTTTTTATGGATCTATATAAAATGCACAATGTATAACCGAACAAGTCCGTTCTAGCTCGATATTCTAGCTTGAAATTAAGAAAGCGTTCAGAAGCGCTAATTTCGACTCAGACAACTGGAAACATGCAGAAAGGCTAGATGTCTTCTTATTTCATACACCAGTAAAGGAATAGTTTTTTTTTTTAATGTGGAAAGAAAGACTTCGTTCATAGACCATCGATCTACTTGTAACCACGTTAGAGATTCGGTATTTGACTAACAAGCGTAAATAAAACTGAAAGAAGGTAACGTGAAGCTAGTGATCTCTTTCCCATTACTAAGCTGGGCTAGCACTGTTTAAATGATACTCTATGCGCCTTTCTAACTCTTTGTAATCTGCAACTACATGGAAAGTCCAGCCATTGGCTTTTCTAGGCTTCCATTCCAATGTTTTGATTCAGCCTTATTGACGATGTACCAGAATCCCTTGAAGGTGAATACCATATTAATTTCTTAGCACTGGCTGGCCAAAATAGTAGAACACAGCGGTTGGTGTCGGCACTAACAAGACACTGCTAGTTTAACATAAAACTATGCTCTTTGAGGAAAGATGAACTTCATGATAATGAAGAGTAATGGAGATAGGTAGATCTATTTTTATATTGGCTCGTAACTTGTTACCCTACTGTTCTTGATTTGTCTACAAATTCACCAGTTAGGTGCAAAAGGTTTTCCTGATACTATCATGCATTTACCTTATCAGCTTCTGCACGGTCGCTTTTTATTCCTTCACCTTCCTGTTCAGGCTGTTTTTCACCAGGTTTATCCCATTCATAGGGATCTGTCCTTAAGTATAGCAATTGTGAAAATATTTCCGGTGCATCGTTTAATTAAGAACACTTTCACTTAAAAACTAATATTGAACCGTAAAAGGCTTCAGAGATTTCCTCACTTTCACAGCAGTACTGGCTTCCTGGTAATCGCCTTTGGTTTTTTTTTTTGATAACTAAAGTACTGTAGAAGTTGGGACCTGACAGATTTATAGAAGAACTTTTAGCGGATTGTTTCAAGGGTATGAATGGTTTTTCGAAGCTATCAATTTTTCCTTGAAGTTTTCCCAAAATTAACTCATTGAAAACCAAAAGCAAGCTACTTCACCACTGGCAATATTAGCCTGGACGAAAAGAGGCATAGAAAGAGTCATTTATGGATTCGAAAAGTAGGAAATCCATCTTGGTAAAGTAATAGTGTTTGTATTTTGTTGGCAAATAACTTATGAATTCCAACGGCCATTGTTTCAACCAATAAAGTTCAGTGTGAGTTAAGCTATGTTTACGTAATATTTTTTATTTTATTTTATTTTATTTGATCCGTCTTAACATCTATCTACTGTGCGGATCCTAGCACTTCCCACATTCGATTGCTTTCCTGGCATCCACTGTCTACGAAGATCTTCCAACTTTACGTGTGGCTTCGGTTGCTGTTTTTTGATTTTCATTTCATCCTGAATGTCGATGCTGGTCGAGCAATTCTCCCTGAGGTCCTGAGATAGTCGGACTGGAGCGTCCCCAATTGGATTGCAAAAAGTAGTGCTTCACTACAACTGTGCTATCCTCCCCATTTACGTAATATTGGAAGGAAAAACTATTCATCCACATATGCATTGAGTTCAACTCAGTCAACAGTTCAAAAGACATTCAAAAGTTCAGCTGAGTTCATTCCAAGCAGAAAAAAAAGCGATCGTTTGTTATAACTATAACGAAGTCGTTCGGCTAAATTTGTAACATCGTATGGATGCGATAACTAATATTCAGTAGATTTCTATTTCTTTCCGCTTAGCAATACATGTGTGCGAAATCGCAAGGACAGGTGCTTTTTGGGAATACGGGTCACATGGAGATACAAAACGAATACAAAATAAGTCTGGTTACAGATGGCACGGTTAGGTAGAGAAGTGGTTGAGAGAAAGGCAAAGCAAGGGCATCAGTGATGCTGTGGGCAACATAGTCGAGGTTCATTCAAGCAGCAGTATGTCCTGTTCTGAGAAGGGCTATAACATTACTTCACAAAACCTCAACTAACAGCGAACCCAAGGCTGTCCTCGTAGAAACGCTGTCGTAAAGTGGTAAGTCTTCCACTAAGAATATCGGCGATTGCCGGTGGTGATAATTTGAGAAAACCCTAGTAAGGCTATCTCGAGTCTCTAGTGAAAGAGGATCTAGTTCAATCAGCAAATGACCCAATGTTACAATTTTTCATCCTACTATTACACTTTGTTTCCTCATATTTTCATATTTCATATTTCACCTTATATACAATGCGTCAGTCAGAAGTCTCCAGCTGAAGCAGAAAGGATGATGGATGCATGCAGTAAAGTTCTATTTAAGGACTGATCTATTCTTATTCAGGCAATTAGGCTCCACGTCCCAACGGTTTACCGCCTCATCGTGGCTGGGAGGTGTTCCTGGTGTGCAGCAGGGGATTTGTCCCCCGGCTTGGTCTCCCAAGCTGAGAAGGGGTCCGGCGTTCTCATCAGGAAGCCTAGCTGAGAGTAAACCAATACCAGGATCCGCCACCGTCCTGGTATCAAAGTCGCATGGTGGCAAATCTCCCTCTGATCCCAAGAGCTGCGACTGCCCGTGGTGGTGAAGACTTGGGGCAGAATTCGGCCAGACTGACCTCGGGATTCCAGGGAACCACGATGGCTTAACCAGCAAATCTCCGATAAGTAGTGAGTATGCTAGGGCCCGCACAACCAGTGAGGACGGACCATTCAAGTGTTCAAGTGTTCAATTAGGCTCCAATCTCATTAACAGTTATCTCTTGTAATATGAGAGTGTAATGCACATGAGAAACAAATGATAAACGCATAGTAGACCTACATTTTCAATTTAGGAGGTAGATCCTGTTTTAATTTTTCCATAAACGTTTTGTAAGGAGGTACATCATGGTAGGTTAGCTTGCGTAGAGTTTTCGCCATTTCCAGAAAAGACGATGGGCACCCCTTAAAGTGAGAGTATAAGCGCGAAGGTATTCTATGTATCGTTCTTCATTGCATTTCATACGAATCTGAATCCGACAAAGCATGATCGGACTTATTCCACTCATTTTCAGTTGTCTCAAAAATACTGAAAAACTAACTTTACACAACGTTGCATCGTTTGTATTCTCTTTTACTTTTCCTGCCTCCTTTCGTACCAATCCTTTCCATGGCAGATTGGCTGTTAAACACTCAATCATTGAATACAGAGCGCCATATCTGTAAGTAGTATTAGAAGACGATAGGTAATCTGCGATTAGAGTATGAGAAAATTATATTTATAGGCGCGGATGCTACTGTGATAGGAATCCTGGAGCAGAGTTCAATGTAGAGAGAAGGCATAGCTACTCAGGATACCAGTGGCAGACCCGTGAGCGGTCACGGTAGAAGGGTCTTTAAGTCGGGTCCTAACCTCATTTAGTAGTCTTCACGACCAAAAGTTAACTATAAGTAACTAGCTTCTACTTTGTAGTGACTTTCTAAAATGGTTGAGAATATTGGTTTGCTACATTAGATGCGTTAACAATGCAAAAGTTTCAAAAATGAAGGTGAGTAAAATTTTTTGTATAAATTTCGTGGAAAACGAGGCCAGTCAACAAACATTCTGGGAAAGGACGAATTTATTGCGGGGATTCCCTTATAATGGCACTGAGAATGACCAGAAAACGAGTCAAATGTTAATGTCACAAGTTTTAATATATGTATTCATCTATGACAAGCTGAGTAATATTGAACTGTGGTAAGCTGAGTAGTAATGTAGTTGTCATATATTATTACAGATTGAGACAAAGAATGACGAGAACTTACAAATCATCATGCCGTCCCTGTTCCTTGTATTGATGTACGTTTAGCGAACAATAGCGAACTGTCCCTCGAAACATAACCTGTAGCAGGATATCTTTTCAATGGATAATGAGACCCCTTCAGTGTCTACCCGGTGGGATGTTTTGATCGTTCAGCAGTGTTGAACAAACTGTTAGTGTAGAAGCATAACATGCTGTCCGGAAATAAAACAGATCGGAAGGAGGTGAACCTTCTTTTGTCAATCGTCCGCGGTAACAATGTAGGCGCGTTCTAAGCGCTATCTTGGGATATTGTGGAAAAAGTGGGAAAAAAAAATAACTTAGCCAAATATTAGGGCACCGATAAAGTGGAAATAGATATGGACAGAGCGCTACTCGTCAAGATAGAGCAAGTATTCAAATAAGTGTAATACGAAAGTTCTTGGGAAAAAACGAATATGAATAGATGCCCATGCAGATGAGGGTTGTCAGTTGGAACATTCCATGTTTTGTGAGCGTTTATGTTTTATTGTAGTCCAGTACTACGAAATTGAAAGCACACGTGATCATACGTTTGGATTTTATATAGAGGATATTTTGGGGACGACAGTAGTAATATCTTCATAAATACCTTGTTCCTTGGTTCCCGCAATTTCAATTTACCTCCCTCATCCGGCAATAATATCTGACGAGCCAACCCAAAGTCGAAAATATAGACAACCTAGAACAGAGTTCTGCTCAATCAACCACTGTACTGAAAAACCATAATGGCGTTTCAAGAATAACGGTGTATCGGGTTATTGTGATATTGGGGTGAATGGTGACTTCCCTCACCAGCTTTATCCCAATATGCACCTGGGAAACGCACAACCTTATTATTGATTCCTCTTATTGATAACTGTCAACTGATGACTGTAACTAAGGGGCGCGTGTAGCGCAGTGGTCGGAGGCCACCTGCAATACACATGCTATCATTCCCCGTATCCCAGGCTCACCAAGCTTTCCATCCCTCCGGTTTTGGCAAATTGGTATCAAACTGGTTAGCTGCACTGGCTCGATACATCGGTATGCCGCCGCGAATCATTGTAAAGGCCAGATATGCATTCAATCACTTACGAAACGATGCTTAATGAAGTCGAATGCATGGTGCTTCCCTCAGGGACTGATCAACACCGACAGCTTTATACTTTATTTTATCTTTTTTGGTGACTAGAACTCAAGGCAGAGAACTAATGATATGGTTAGAGATGAAAATAATGACTGTTAGTAGTAATGGTGTGATACCTGTGTGTTGTAGAGACCCATCGCCAAATTACTTGGTTTCACATCTCGATGAACGAATCCAGCTTCATGTAGGTCTTCAAGGGCCTTAATATAACCATTTCGAACACTTTTAATTGATGACTGCTATTAGTTTGAAACCAGTTCTTTTTTTCTCGTCAGTGATAGAAATTACGGTGTGAGATGCTACTACGTTTATATTTATGCTCTTTCAAAGAGATGTGGGTATAACAGTTTACAAAGAAAAGAACTTTTCTTTATCTTAATAACTCTAAGCAGGCTAGATGAAACTCCTAGAACCCTGCATAGCAGTTCCCAGAAAACGCATATATTAACTTTCCAGCGCGCGAATCGGGGATCACCTGAGGCGGAGAGCATCACTGCATAGGAGCCACATGGTGTGACCCGTGTCGTTCTTGCGGCAACCACAGCTCCAAGCACGATCTCTCTCAAGCGCTGTTGTCGACGCAGTTGAAACACATTCGCAACGATCGGGCATGGATGGAATAAAGTGCAGATGTTACAACGAGAGTTCACCTTGCAGTCGAGTGGGGCCCGAGTCAGTACTGGTCTAAGCAAAGTCCAGTGCCTACTTCATGTGGCATGGGGTCGAGTCTGGGCGTTTCTCCAGCTTGCACTATGCTTGCATGTCACCATCAAACCGTAATCGGCAGTCCAGATTGAAGCAATAGTTCGCTGCTTGTATTGCACCGTTTGAGCCAGAATGAAAGCATTATTGCTTTCCGTTTGGTCCAAATACAGTGTTCATTTCCTCATAAGTCGTAGGCAAACTGAAGCCTAACCAATTCCTAGGACATCGGATTTAAAGAGGATCCAAGTGGCTTGGATTTACCAAGTGACCGTTTGGCTTCGATGTTCCTTCTCTGCTACACTTATGCAGCTTTCTGTGCTTGTTACAGATGTTACCAATCTCTAAATTAGTATCTATGTAAAACTGGCAAAGTTGGCAACTGGACGAATATAGGCCTTAAAAGGCTTTTCTTTTTACTTCTGTGAGTGATAAAATTGTCCGCATCAACCCTGCGTATTTCCAATTTTATGACTTTGGCCACCGTCATGGTTTTCATTTCCAACACAGAGTGATAAGAAAAGTCGTCAAAAGAATAACTAATTGCTTGGCAATTTTGGTTTGCTTTATAAAAAAGTACAGAGCTTAATGATAGTGATAAAGAGGCTACTGGGAACATCTCTACCTCTTTTTAAGCTATGTCGACTATGAGGAATGATTTAACAGTGAGCGAAAGGGATTTCAGTCTTTTGACGTTCATTGGTGAAGGGGTTAAACCCGTCATAAAGAATTGCAGCCGACTGTTATCACAGTGGTATCACGACGATACGGCACTTCTGTCGCCCGCTTACCATCTCCATAGGAAAAACAATCCATAATGATATCGTTTTGTCAAATGCAGCTCTTGTTCTGGTGTACTTGATAAGGAACTCGAAAAGAGCTAATTTTTATGAAAACGGGTCGAAATGTATGGCTCCAATTACGAAAACTGAATTCTTCTCCTAGCTACAACCTCCTATTAAAATGGTAAATCACTTGGAGCGACAATACTAAAGACGGGGAACAGCTGAGATCACAAACGGAGTCTCCAACGGAACCACCGACCAGTCATTTGGTCATTTGACATCTCCACTCTAATCTGCTCCAGTCATTAGCACTCCCAGTTCTGATATACAATTAGGAGGGTTGACGCTCCACATCATCGACAATTTTGAGCATTACCTATGCAGAGCATGAGCGAGGGCTTCTGGGATACAACCAAGCTTTTCTTCCTTCCTACTTCTTTGTAATCATCAAAAAAGCATGCAGTTGGTATCTCGTATTTGTTTTTTTTTTTCTCTATTTTACGGTAATATCCAACAATTCCAAAATTATTTGGATAAAATGAGCTTGTTGTCAGATATAGGTTACATAAAAGTCCTTTTCTGTAGATGGACTTTCACCAGTACCAAATGAAATCGGTAAATTTCGCTTAAAGTTAGAACTTGTTTAAGGATAAATGCGTTTCTCAACGGTCAAAGCATGCTTCCCACGTCATCGTACTGGTAATAACTCCGTAAGAGGTACGTGTTCAGCGTGATGACCACTGGAATAAGGATAAGGAATAAGGGAATAATCATAACAACTTGGAAATGCTTCCAGTGATCATATTCGATGATCATTACCATTATTAGAACTGTGTATTTGCATTATAAAGTCGTATTCGTATTCTCAATCGTAGACAATATGAACTCACTCTGATAAGTTGTATAGATATTCTAAGAGTTGAAGGTAAGCTGATTTTTCTGTTAGGCAGTCGGCGTCTGATTTCAGACATCTCTTTACCTAGTAAACTCATCACAACATATGTATAAGAATCGGTTTTACCCGAAGCAAGGCATCGACAAACGTGACGGGAACTGAAAAGAAAACCAGAGTAATTGCCAGTAATTGCTAAAAATTAATATTTACTGTGAGCCAAGTCAAAGGAGATGATTATCCAAATGTGCTAATGAACAACAACGTGGTTACCAAGCTGACAACGCTGTTGTTGCTGATCTAGTTCGGAACAACTCAAGCACTTGTCGAATTGCTGTTAACTACTTCTAAAGTCATAATAACTAACTACAGCTCATTTATTACTACAGAAAATCACAAGCAGAAAAAAATCACAAACTTTTGAACTTTTCTGAGCACGAAAATTTCCATTTTAAGAATTTCATCATCTTTAGACTTCATTAATGGCTCCACCTTCATTGCAGCTTTCGTCTTTGTCTAAACCGAAAAACTTCGTCGGATTCATCGTCAACAATAACTACTCGGCAGTTTCCATTCCGAATTTCAATCCAAGCTGGATCACATATGGTGTGAATAATGTAGTAAGTTGGCCCCTGGCGTCTATTCGTGTCAAAGCACTGATTTCGTCAGTGGATGTTCTCGAAAGCTAAGATTACAATCCTCACAAACACCTTCGTATTCTAACGAACTGTTAAAATGTTTGGGTTCGAAGATCATTTATAAACAGAGAAACTGTTTTCTGGATTTTGATAACACGACAGATGATGACTGCAAGTATTTACTTACGGCGGTACGTCTATCATCCTTGTTCAATCGTTTATTAGCAAATTCCACCCGCTGGTTACTGTACTGCATGGCTGGCCCAAAAGATTGAGCGAGACTTTTCGTCGGTTGAAGACTGTGGTTTTTCGGCAATAAGAAATCTTTTCTCAATAAATAGAGTACCTGAGGGCTTTCAAGTTGATAAAATTGTGGAAGAAATTTGCGCTATCGTTCTATGGGCATAATGCTATGTATGCTTGGTCCATTATACACATGCATTGCTGTCGGCAATTGAAAGTATTTTGCAGCATACGTTAAGTCTATTTCGGTGCTTTTTATATCTGCACATTCCATAGAATAACCATTGTGGTTAAAATGAAATACTAAGACAAAAAATTGTCTTAGCTAGACAAACGATACTCTTTCTCCGCCACTGCCTGAAACACCGAGTTGTGCCGAACTTCATCAAACGAGAACGACTACACGATGTATGCGGCTTACCGAGGGACAGCCAACTAGTACTGGACATCGAAACGCAACTACTACGCAACTACGCACCTCTCTTCGATACAAACAGGACACCATGTACGCGCAATTGAAGAAGTGCAAGTCAAAGGAATCTTACTGTGTTCAGTACTTGGAGGATTCCCTTTGGAGGAGAATAGTGGGCTCTGAAGAAGGCGAAACCGCCGAAACGTCAGCTATTGTATCCTAATAAATTCTATAATAACGACCTCGTGTCTGCTTGAAGAAAAACATCGAATTAACAATCAATGCCGAGGTTAACAGAAAGTCGGTCTTGGGTAAAATGAAATAATTAATTGATCAATTACTAGTTAAATTACCAACCAATAAACTCTTTCGAAAATACGTTTTTTTGTAAACCACCAAGTGTAGATAATGGTTTTCCTAGTCTCACCAGTCCCATTTTGATCTGTCCTGGATTAGCTGCCGGATAAATACACATAATACGGTATAAAAAACTCTAGAACTCGACTAAGCTAAAAACACTATGGTATCCATATGGTCGTTTGGCACAGATCGCTATGGACACTAAAGTGTCCATACGGGGAGGAAATAACGAGTCATTATGCGCTCGACGAAAGTAGACGGAATGCCTATCTTACCTGTCATCTTCGGCTTGAAGTTTATTTTATCTACTGGTCTCTTTTCATATGTAACTAGGCAGTTCTGTCCAGAAAAAAATTAAAACAGTCGATCACCATACAATTTCCCCTTTTGGCTAACTAAACACGACTTTTTTTCCTTCAAAGCTATAAATTCGAGTTACTGGCTACTATTCACTATGACGGTCTTCTTGCTAAATAATGGTTCAACAGTAAAACTCACTTTTCCATTCTTGTCAATCATATGGACCAGGAAAACCTGCCCACATGCTCCTTCTCCAAGTTTCTTTTTCACAACAAATTGATCCTTGACTTTATCTCCTATATTTATTTTTACTGGTCCGAGTGGTGTTCCCATTTCAACATCGATATCTAAAATACGAGCATAAGCCTACAAATGTTCAGTTCAGCTCTGTATCAAATCAAATTTCAATAGCTCACCGTAATTTACTCCTAGAAATGCAGCAGTTCCCACACTTTTGCTTATCGAAGAAATTTGTCGTATCTATATCTCTTATTATGTAAACATTTTGTTCCACTGTGATAGGTTAAACTAAATATACCTGGTGGGTTTAAAAGTCCAAAGGATCGGTACCATTCAGAAATCACCAACCATTCAAGCAAACACGTTCCGAAGCATGAATGCGATACTTTCATATGTAAACATTTACTAGGGATAGTGTTGCTATTCAATATGCCCCTCTAGCTGGACTCCATAAAGGCTCAATCAAGTCTCCCCATTCCATTCCATTCCTTCGTATCCTGGAAATTAGTATCAGATCTGCCTGGTAACAACTAATTCGTACAATCCACAAAAATTGGCACCTGTGATGGGGATCTGAAAGCGATCAGCACTGCTATCCCAGGATTATAAGCAGAATTTGCTAAACCCACCATTCAATGGGATCCGTGAGAACGACTATATCATCAAGCAGCAGCCGAACGTACACGTGAAACTGAGGACCATCATGGATAATGGGTACGAGGGACCGTATTGAATGTAAGAAATGCTGTGGACCGCGCAATGTATGACACCGGGTCAAGTATAAGAAATTAACCTCACGTATATAAGATTGTGGATGGTTTACACTTCAAAGGACCTAGTGAATAAGTCCTACTCGGGTAATTGAATCTTCAAGCTTTTTCTTCATCACTGAATCTTTCGGGCGCGTGTGGGGCTGTGCTCGGAGAGGCCCTGCAACATGCACGTGGAATCGATCCCAGCGATGGAATCGAACCTATGCCTCACCAAGCTTTTCACCACTCCGGAGTAGGCAAGTTGGTACCACACTTGTCTGGGAGGATAGCAGCACTGGCTCGATACATCGGCAGGCCATTGTGAGTCATTGCAAAGGCCAGATATGAATTCAGTTATCTCCAAACAATGCTTAATGAAGTCGAATGCATGGCGCATCCCTCACGGATTGGTCAACGCCGAGAACTTTTATTGGATATTTCACTGTTACACTCTTACTCTTATACTCTCTAACTCCTTCTATGAGTCGTTGGTATCACATATTGCAAGTGTTTTATTTCAAAAACCGCTTTCCAACTTTAGTATGTCAGAAAAGCACGCTTTATCGAGTAGAACAATAGAACAAGTGTACAGAATTAAATATACATACGGCTAGGCCCTAAAACATTATTTCGTTGAGTTGTTTAACAAAACTGTTAATTACTTCTTGATACGTGATACTTGAGCGGCCCGACCTCACTGGTTGTGGGGGTCACAGCACAATCACCATTTTTCGGAGATTTGCTGTTTAAGCCATTGTGGTTCCCTGGAATCCCGAGGGCAGCTTTGCCAGTCTGCCCCAGGTCGTAACCACGACCAGCAGCCGCAGCCCTTGTAGATCAGAAGGAGACTTGCCACCATGCTACCACTTTGATATCAGGACGGTTTAGAATCTTGATATTGGCTTATTCATAGCTAGGCTTCGTGATGGAAACGCCGGACTCCTTCTCAGCTTGGCAGACCCTGCCGGAGGATGAATCCCCCGCTGTACATTGCAGCCCGATACCCAGGAACACCTCGCACCCACGATGAAGCGTTAAATCGTTGGGAGAGTTAATTACTTCAATCCCTAATAACCTGGTAAGTTTTTCCATCTTCATGATCACGGACCGGCGACCTCAAAGAGTTCTTTGCAGGTGAGATATTTTCACATCCTAATGATATGAATGGAAAACAAAACAACTACATATATGATTTATGCCTATCGTTTTGGTTATAACAAGCAATAACCGTTAAGATAAGATGTTCTCAGTGAAATAAGGTGTTTCCTGAGCATACAGAATCTTTGTGAAGAAGGAGAAGGAAAAGGAAAAGAGGTGAGGAAAACATCATCGGAAAGAGGCACATAAATTATACTGACTAGTTCATGAAGCAACATTTTTGAGTACACTTAGGGTTTATGGGAAACAGGAATGATAAGAATCAGCAAACATCAATTATCACAAATGGTTTCTACACAGCTATGGAATGTGGTCGTGTTTACGCACCAGTTACAAAAAAAAATATTATAACAGAAGCTGATTTAAGCTCAGAAGACATCACACTATGTACACCATTGAAATTGGTAAAACGAATATAGTTCGTAAAAAAATTCGCCTGGAAAGGTACTACAACGGGTAGATTAAGGTGTTGTTGGAATGTATTTGTCTCAAAGTTTGACCCGTTCCGAGTTATCCACAATGTAGCTGGATTTCTAGCACCAATTATATACATTTAGGTAGACCTAGTATGGCATAGTTACAACTATAATGACGGATGATCGTCACATTTCCAGAAATCATTGGCCGTACATTATATCGTTCAGCGACTGCACGTAAATATCAGAGCAACTCGACATAGCTTTCAAGCTCTGCACATAAAAGGCGTAGTCCTGAGTGACGAATCTGGAACAAGAGTAGTTAGCAATAGATGATTCTAAGCATATCTAACTATAGTGCGGTAGGAATAGATTCTTAAAAGTTATAGGCAAGCACAAAGCGAGTTAACAGACGTGTTTTGTGATTATGTAATTCAGCCCTATTGACAGGCCACTCATCTAATGGATCTGGACGATGATCTAAACTGGTAAATAAGAAATAGTGCAATATCAACGTTATGTTTATTAGATGCGATTTGCTGACGTGAACACGTAACATAATTAAGAAAACCGCATCCAAAGACCACCTTACCCATATTTTAAAGAATCATGAGGAGAAATACCAATCTTGGCCAGATGCAGTTTCAGTTCCATTGTGAAATGCTCGTGCACGGTCTCAAAGAGCATCTAAAAAGCAGAAATTGGGTGAAAAAGCAATAAAAACAGCTCGTTACCCCAATGTTTGTAAAACCAATATTACTTCTAAAATACACGAAACATGCGTGCATGTAAAGGCCTTTTCGTCTTCGTACACTTAAATTGCTAGTCATCACAAAATCCAGCAAAAGAAGAAGTCCAGCACTATCACATCTGAGTGATATGTTTCTGATGCGATAAGCTTTTTTCTTCTCTAGAATCTTGGAATAACAGTGCCAGTGCGATACTAGATCGCTAGCAACTACATTCTTCGGCACACTATTAGGCTTCTTTAAGGATGTCGGCAGGTCTTCCCTTTGTTTCACTTTCGAATTCCATGTCAGTTGGATGACCATTCAACAGGACGGATCCACTGTACATCGCAGGACAACTCTTGCCATGTCAAGATGGGATACAATTGAAGGGTCAAAACAATAAACGATTAAAAGGGTCAAGAACGCTTGTTACCTGTATCAGTTGCAATCTCATTAATATTAGGGCTCAAAGGTGTTTTCCAAACTGCTGATAGTTTTTTGGTAACCAAAAAACGTCAAAAGTTAAAAACGTGATCACCTTTTAGAAGATACTTTACTGCAACTATTTAGGACCAAGTATGGTTCTTTAATACTGCAACTTAATTTCCAGTGTTGTTCAGAATCAAAATTTCCAAAAGAAATGAAAAAGGAATTTAAGTTTTTAAAAAACCGAGAGAAGTTCCAGCAGCCCCAAAAATCGACAAAGGACTTGGTAACATCGTCGTGGTCTAATGGACGAAATGTCGTTTGCAAACTCGCTTCCATTTTCAAAACACGACCTTCGAAGAAAAAAAAGTGAAAAAAGTTTGCAGAAGTCAACAAACATTGAACTCTAACTGTAAGTAACTGAGTGACCAGATCACACATCGGGAAAGCCTTAAATCGACCTTGTTGCGCATCAGAGAATCACATAAAGGATAATGGACGATTCGTTCAATGTTAATTAATCCTTGAAGGACGAGCAACACATTCGACTTCATCGAGCATCGCTCGAGGTTACTGAATGCATATATGGTTAACGACATGCACTACCAGTTTGTGAAGTCAGTGTTGGTATCCTTTCAGAAACGTCGTTTTGCCGATCCTCGACGAATGAAAGGCTTGGTGAGCACAGCGCGCGTGATCAAACCAGTGCAGGCCACCTCTAACCAATGCTCTACACGCGAACACGCAGTTCCATATAAAATTTAACAAACAAATAAACCATTGTACCAAGTATGATTTGCAATTTTTGATTCTCCCTAACCCCGAATAGTTTTCACTTCGATGACGACAATGAAGTCTGTAGGTTAAGGGATTATTTAACATGGGCTCAAATAATCCAATGCAAATTTGGTTCGCGTAGGTTTCCAAAGACAAAAAAAATTTTTACGGATTGGAAGAAAGATATGTACCTTTATTTGGTCATCAGGAATGATTCCTGCTAAGCCATTGTGGAATTTAACCATTTGCCTGCAGATTTGCTGGAATGACGTTGAAGGTACTGATGAGCTCACAGTCCACTGAAAACTTGAAGAACTCGCTTTTAAATGTGAAATTTCCGTTTAAAACAAGAAATGATTGGAACTAGCAATCAACATAAATAAATAAACATAAACTAATAGCGTACACTGTTCAGACAATTCCGCGTACAATGGTCAATGACGCTGACGAGTTTCGAAGTGATCTCTCCAATATGATTAGTGTAATCAGTAAGAGTCTGAGGAAAGCTAGTCAATTATAAAAGAAAAAGTGCATGAAAAAAAATGTTCACACCTGTTTAATATGTCGCATAAGGTGTTTCTGATCGTCCTTTAGAGAAAGTTCAGCTTCTTTAGCTACAAGCGGAATGAAATGAACAATTAACTGTAGTGAACGAGACGCGAGAGCTGAAAGCAACACCACCATGAGGTGAAGAGCTGGATATGCCAACCAAGAGAAACCAATTATTTTGCTCTCAATGAATCTACATGAAGTTGCAAACAATCGAGATATTAGAAGTATTATCGAAAATGTGAATAACCGCTTATTTGAAAATACCGCTTGGTGATTAGTGCTTCCAAAAGTATTCTTGTTTATTACAATAAAATACCCTGTCGATGACAAGATAATTGCTTAAATGCAACCTCTAGGAGGCCGAGATATTTGCAAAACTTGGACCCTAGGCCAGATACAAACCCGCGATTACCCTTTCTGGGGTTCACATGCTACTCATTGCACCACTGAGGCCTTTCCTGAGAAAAAGGTAAACCATGGACTTTAGTGGTGCACTAGGTAACACATGCGTGCTTCTAAAGGGTAATCGAGGATTTGAAACCGGCCTGGGATCCAAACTTTGCAAATGTCTCAGCCTCATAGTGGCTATATTTCACATAATACCCCGTCGTGAAAACAATAATAGGCAGTAAATAAGAAGTTAAACATTTACTCAAATGTTTAAAATGAAAATTTTCGTCTGAAAATTTTTGGAGCAAAAGGCTCAGAAATCAATAAAATTAGGTCCTACTGGTACACACGTATTTGTTGATTAGGCATCGAGTCCATTCAACACCAGAGGATTGGTGAAGAATTGTCCCCGAGGAAATAAATAGTGAACAGATTGGTGATGACGGCAAAGTCTTTGCCACATGCGGCGCCCGCGCGCATTGCACTCAATGCATTGCGCAAGCACCCTTCTTATTGATTAGAAAAAAGAAAAATCGCCAACAGATTCATTGAGGCGAACTAATTTTTCACATAACGTTCTTCTGAATTTTAATATGTTGATAACAGCTTTGCCTCGACCAAAGGACGTAAACAGCATCCGGTACAGAGATCTAGTATAATTTACTACAAACGGACTGTAAAAACAGTTTGTTCGTCAGAGGGTTGAAGCTGTAAACAATAAGCATCTAAATCAATGAGCAGTGTTTAAAATAACCCACAAAAGACCCTAATAATAGTGTAAAGAAACAGATAAAGCTCCCGGCGTTGATCAATTTTTGAGAGATGCACCATGCATTCGACTTCACCAAGTATCGTTTGAGGCCATTGAATGGATATTTTGTCTTTACAATGATTCGCGCCGGCCTACCGAGGTATGGACCCGGTGCTGCTGTCCTCCCAGACAGGTTTGGAACGAATTTGTTGACCACGAAAGGATGGAAGGTCTGCTGAGCCTGGAAGGCGGGACCGAATCCAACTGTATTGCGGTCACCTCTAACCACTACGCACTCGAGCCCTTTAAAAGAGCAATCTTGTCTAACAACAGAAGACATAGCCAAAGACAGAACGATAATTACATTATAAAGTGACCTTTTTAAAAATATGATGAAACGATATCTAAAATTCGCACTAAGTTTCCTAGTTTCGAACTGTAACCAAATAAGTTTAACTTTTTGGAGAGCTACGTTCATTGCAAGAGGTGTGGACTGAAGAATCAAAGATCTTTTACGTATGAACATATGACTGGTAAATAGGATATTGTTACTCATGAAATATGCAGCCAAGTGGGTAGGCGTGCCCTGCGATATATACCGAATAGGTCAATGGTTCGACTCGATGCGCTGGGTAAACCAAGTTCTCGATCTCTCCGAGATCAGCGCACTGTTAAAAGGTTTGTTTGCGAGAATAAGAACACGGACGATGAAGAGGTTGTTATAGAGAACATTCTTCACGAATATTAGAATGTTCTCTATGTAAAACAATTCAAACCTTTCCAAACATTTCAAATGCTCCCATAACCTTCTCGCTATGACGATCTGATAGTCGTATGTCTAACAATTCGCTGGCGCCTATCTCGTAAAATATCTGCACTTACGGTCCTAGGCTCTGAATATCGCCCTATCAGATTGCAATGCTTGAGAAATGTTTCTAGCACCCGTCTTTCCGCCTACTGTAGTCTGACTCCGCCCAGCGCAAAAGGTATATAAACGGTTCCACGGTTAGCTAGCTAATGTCACAGCAATGGTGCCCAAGTGACCATATTCGTGCTTCACATCCATCTCATGTAGTAAAAGTCATATGCCAACCTCTTCACTCATAAACAACCTGAACACTAGTAATTCTTCGTATTTTTGTTGAGCAAACGCGAGGTGTTATAACACCTCGCGTTTGCTCAACAAAAATACGAAGAATTACTTGATCAATGCCGAGGTTAATAGAAAGTCGGTCGTGGGAGTTACTGAACACTAGTGATCAGGCTGCGCCTATTTATTACCCGTATCATTGCTGCATTAATTATACAGTTGTATTGTTATGATTGTTGTGTAATTATGATAAACGGTTTAATTAGCCAAGTTTGAGGTGTCCGGCATTGTGACTGCTACTTACAAGAAGTCCCGCGTGGCGTACACAAAGGCGAGCAGCTAATTCTGACTGAATCGTCTTAACTACTTGGTATTCCTATATCAACGAGCCGTCCCAACAGTTGGCCACCATAATTTAGGTTTAGGCGAGACATGGAGTCAACCACTCCTGCGATGCACAATGAAGTCAAATGGCGCATTTCTCTGGAATTGATTACTGCGGAAAGCTTTATTTCTCTACCCATTTAGTGAGCGCTGCGAAGTCATACGTATACAAGCCAAATTATTTCTAAAAAATTAGGCAAGGGCACTGCTAGATTTATGTAATATTGAAGTGTCAGCATTTCTAACTTTTAGATATGTGGTCTCTTGAACGAATGTTTAACAAAAAAATTCTGAGAAAACACCAAGACAAAAACAAGGTAAAGTAGTACCTAGGTTCCGCACTGAAATCGTCTTCAATCCAACCAACTGTAGTGCTCCTGCGCCCAAAATCAATTGACAACAACGACTGGAATCCTTTTTAATTTGAACTTTTTGGGATTTAAAAACACTCTCTGTTTCTGTAGTGTGCGACATTTTAAGCCTATAAGTCTCGAAGACACATGACACCACCCCAGTTGCTGATGAGAGGTTAAATATGGAGAAAAACAACCATATGTTTGCTGTGATGGAAGTGGATTCAAAATACATGTTTTTTGAAAGAGTAAGTGGTCTCGGCAATGCAGCGGGTAGGACGTGAGTGCCTCCTCCCCAACCGGTAATCGCGGGTTCGAAGATAGCCTAAGATTCGAGTTTCGCAAATATCTCAGCAACATTGTAGTTGTATTTCACATAACCTGACATGAAAAAAATGTAGTAAACTAAAAAGTTAAACAATGATTTGTTCCTTGTTTCTTCTGCACTGTTCCCCGTAATATCTCCGAATGCAAATGGAAATAATTCATGTCAACCCATCTAGATCAGACTATCAAAAACAAACCTAGATAATTAGCCAACCCTACCGTGCGAAGTACAACGGGAGAGCTCGGATAGCTACCGCAACTCTTTGATGAACAAAACAAAGCGCTCAAACGGAAAGAACGTAGCCAACAAAAGGGGTGCGCTCTCAGACAAAGGCTTATGGAATCTTCACTGGTTACGTCTTCAGCTACACGATGAGTAGTGGTAAATGAAATCGAGGAAGCTGGTAGAAAGTACTTATTATTGCACGACGCCGAACACAGAGTATTGGAACGATACCTATTAAATCCTTTAAGTAATTCGACAACGCGTGATAGAATATCAGCAGCAAATGCTGGCAGAGCTGCGAAACATTCACAGTAATCAGCAAGGATTTTGATGAATATCAACGCCGATCTAAACATAAACAGGTACGAAGGAGATAATCTGTATAGATGTTTCGAATCTCCAAATTCAAAAATTAAAATTTTTTTAGTTGCGAATGGTAAAAACTAACCCAACAACAATGAAGGAGGAATAGTTAACCATTAATGACGTTCCATCAACGCAATGGTTTGATGCTCCCACATTCCTCAACCGATTAGTTTGAATTGACTCGTCCACTATACATTGTATTTCTGCAGTTACCTCTGAAGCCTTCCATAATTCTGCATCTAGTTCGGCACTAAAAATATCACCGTCCAACAGCTTTTGAGGTAAGAATATGACACAAATTAAATCATGACCTGTTTAACTGGTCTGAACATGTAATACCCAATAATCAATTATCAACTCAAAAGGCGGACTTTCTATAAACCACGGCATAGATAGTTGACATATTTATTTATACGACCTTATGAACTGATCTTCTTTAGCTGATGCGAGGTTGGTGTATGTCTTAGTTGTCGTTGTTGTTAATGTTGTGAGTTGATGGCTGAGGTTTCGGCAATATCGCCTTCCTCAGAGCCTGGACGTGTCTTATACTTTTACTTTAATCACAATCTTAACCCTTTTGTTGACTGCCTTTTTCTTTTTAATGGCAAGGTATGTTGCGAAATATAACTCGTATATAATGCTGAGCCGATTTGTGCTCCCAGAACAATCACGTTGACGGGTGATTGCTGATGGCAAAAGGTCAATAGAACTAGCTGAGCGACAGACAAAACGAAGGACCCGGATGATGTGGTGGTGAAGTGCGCTACTCCCTGGTAATAGCGCGTTCGTTCCCCACCGCATACACCTGCGGTCCGGAGTTTTGCAAATATCTCAGCATTATATACTTTTACTTTACTTTAGAATACTTTAATTATTCGGTGAAAAAAAAGCTGAAGTATTAATGAAGATCAAGCTTCCAAATAAACACCATATTGAACAACAAGGCTACTCACCGTGATGTTACGAGTGGGACTGGCCCACGCATTGTTCACGTGGGGTCGCGAGCGATGCGCACCCAAGGGTAAAAAATATCATTTTGAAATAGGGCGTCAGGTCACGTGTGATAGTGAGGCAAACGTCTTTTCGGTTCAACTTTGGATTTTTGAAATTTATCCAAAACGCCTCAAGAGTTTTGCGCGTTGATATTTTCGATTCCTACGCCAGGATCTGCACATTCACTTCAAAATCATCGCCGTTGTGTTTTTGTGCCCAATGCGTACGTAGAGGAGTGTTTTGACGAATTTTAACTTTTGCACCTAGGTGTTGTTACATGCGGACACAAAATTGACGAGCCGTTTCCCCAATATGTTCCTCACCGCATGCGTTTTCTGAGCTGCACCAACGATCATAGAGACGGTTGCGAATTAACTGACGGCGTAGGATATTGGGTGGGATGTCAATAATCGTTACATCATTTCCAAAACCACATTTTCTTAAGCACTTTTTAGTGGTGTGACTTACTTCATTTGATATGAATGGTAGCTTAAAGCTTAAAGGGGATCCTACTTTCGTCTGAAATATTATTTTGGGAAACTACCCAGTGTTTTCCTCTAACCCGAGTGGCTTCTACCTCGTAGCCATTGGAAATGGCAATTCTTCGTGCCAGGTTTTGTGATTCCTTCCTTTCCTCTTCTCCTGTGCACACATTTTTAGTCGTACGGTACATGTTTTTGATAAGTGCTTTTTTCATGTATTAAGAATGTGAGGAGAGGTAATGAGCTAGTGCGTTTTTACTACTTGGCTTACGTTACCATTTTGTTATATAGCCACTTTCTGAGAGCTTTAAATGTTTGAGAACGGAACCCAGTTCTCGGTTGGTTTTTGCCGTGTGAATTTTATATGCTCTGACTGTTGGTTTAACAATTCAAAGCACTCATCCATCTGTTCCTGTGAGGAACAGACGATGAAGCAGTCGTCTATGTATTGACAGTACAGTGAGGGTCGGTGATCGAGAACTAGAGCTTCTACCTTAGACATGAAAGCGATGGCAAGGCTTGGTGCTGAACGCTGCCCCATCGCCAACCCTCTAATTTGTGCAAAATATTTTCCAGACCACCTAAAGATTGAACAACTAAGACACTGTTTTAAGAATGTCATTAGTTGCGCAATCGACAAGCCGTGCATTTTTATTTTCTTTTCATGCTCTACGAGCAACTCGAGAGTGGCTTGCATTGCGGAGTCATTGGACACGTTGGTATAAAGTGACGTAACATCGAATGAATCCATTACATGCGTGCTGTTTGGTTACGCGCACCGCAGGTGGTCTAGAAATATTTTGGTGTTAGGTAAATGGATTGGAATGAATTTTAGCAACTGGGTCAGGATAAGGTTCAACGCGAAAACATCGACACGAAAACTGTTGAGGCGTTTTGGATAAATTTCAAAACTAGCTAACACAAAATGTAACCATTATTTTATGTCATATTTATTGATTTGATACTTGGATGACCCGTATTCACTGGTTGTGCAGGCACCAGCATCATTTCTAATCCCCGGAGATTTGCTGGTTTAGCCGTAATTCCCAACGTTGAGAGTGGGGCTTCCGGAATTGACGACCGCACCTCCCCACATCAACGATCGACACGAAGGTAAGGGGTGAGATCATGCGCGATCTCGGAACATTTATCCCTGCTATTCATTGTAGGATTTTTGGCATTTATTCAAAAAACCTTGAGGAGTTTGTGCGTTGGTGTTTCGAATCCCGTGCGAGGATAGCAACTTTTATATCAAAATCGTCTCCGCTATGCTATTGTAGGTATTTCGCTTATTTTTGCTATTGCGGTACCGAAAACCGAGTAACGAAAACAACCTGGTTTATCCCTCTCTTCCCATCCTTCACACACAAAAAAGACACTTGTGAGAAACACGTTTCGAATAGCCACCTCTGTGTGCACAAGTACAGAACTAAAGGAAGAATTACGTGACTTGGCTCAGAAAATAGCCATCTCTAATGGCTACGAAATAGTAACCCCACGAGATAAGCTTCGAAGGAGAGCGACCCTCCAAAACGAACGGTTTGGCCGGAACAAAATCCCGTTTATCTTGTCCTTTATTAACGATGAAATAAGTATAGCGATAAAGCGATACTTAAGAAGGGCAGATCTAGAGGAATCGGTAGCTATAGTTGAAATACCACCGAATACTCTCCGTCGCCAGTTAGTTTGTAATCGCCTCTACAACCGTCTGTGAAGCATAGAATTGCGTAATTTGCCTTTATGGCAGGGATGGTAACTTAATGAGTTCAGGTATGATATACCTGATCTCTCGTAGTGCTCGCGGAGATGAATATGTTGGTAAAACGGGCAGAACTTTATGTGTCCGCATAAAAGAACACCTAGATGGCAAACGAAAAGTAAGACAAGGCACGCCACTAGAGACGCATAGGATATAAAAGCATAACGGAGACGATTTTGATGTAACAGTCACTATCCTCGCACGGCATCCTAAAACACTAACGCGCAAATTTCTCGAGGTTTTTTGGATAAATGCCAAAAACCCTAAAATGAATAGCAGGGAGGAGTGCCCGAGATCACGCGTGATCTCGTCCCATGAATTCATATCGATCGTTGATGTGGTGAGATGCAGTCGTCAACCATATGCGACTCTGAGCTGCTGTTCTTCCTCAGTGGAAGGCACGTAAAGAAACCTTAGGTCATTCAAGAAACTGGTGATCACATGGTTATCATATAGATTTTCGTCTTTCTGTATGTGTTATTGAAGCATTTGGCATAGCAAATTGCTAATCAATACACCCTTCCAGGCTCTGAAGAAGGCGATTCTGCCGAAACGTCAGCTACGGTTGTGTTGTACGTGTGCTATTGTGTGAAAGTAAACGTATGCTGTTTAACGAGCTCGCGATTGCTGAGGGAGAAACGACGAATTCATAATCCAATGCCGAGGTTAACAGAAAGTCGATCCTGTGAACTATAAACTAATACTTTGAAAAAGGTCTTACTTAGATTTTCTTATACACACCTGGAGAAACTAGAGAATGTTGACAACTGACGTTTAACTATGTATTAAAAACTTGGAAAGTGTAAATAAACCTCATCTTCGACCGGCGCTGTGTATGAAACCGCTCAATGTACTCTAGGCATAACTTCTGTAGGCACATTGACAAAGGGCTTACAGCAATTGGCTGTAAACCAGGTTTTTTTTTCAAAATTTGTAACGGAAACACATGACCACAAATACTATGTGAAAGAAATGAATAACTCTATCCCTACCTCCGTTTTATGCCACCCTTCATCAGCGCATTCTTTTTGATATGTTTTAGCTAATGATATCAACTGGGCCAGTTGATCGGGTGTGGTTTGGTCCTGCTCACCTTCTTGCAACTGAAGAATTGACATTAGCAGTACTCAGAATAATAAGAAAGAGCAAGTGCATCGTCACTGTTATGATAGGAAACAGGGAAATAGGGATTCAAATTACTGATTTTGAATAAATGTAAATATAACTCTGGAATATTCCCTACTAAAACAGGCAGCTCGTTGCGATATTGCGTTGTACAACGAAGGCTTTCGATTTTGAAGAAAAAAACATTTAGGTGAATAATAATTATAATTTGGATAATGGGTAAACTTAGGCTCATGGGCATTTATTAGTGGTCCTTTCTGAAAATGACTTAACGGTGTTCAATGCAACAATAATATACTTAAAATAAAGAGGCAAAAAGAAGAGGAAGATTTAAAAGACTTGGACGATGAGTCCAATCAAAGATACATAATGTCTCAAGACCACTGAGATCGATAAGTTATGATCGGATTTCTTTTTTAAATGCTCCCGCTTTCCACGCCATAAAATCCAATAGGTAGATAAATTTAGAAATTAGATAGGTTAACTGCCGTTAGTCGCTAATTAAGTAATGACATGTCCGGTCACCATTAAGGTCTGAAAGGGTGCTTGCGCTATCTTAAAATCCACTCCATAATTCTTTTCGTCCGCCTTTCGTCTGTTCTTCTTATTATGTAACCGACCCATATGTGTTTCGCTACCGATGTATTCCGGATCTTCTGGATCCCGAAGATTAGATAACTTTTGAACATCGGAGCAGCATATTCCGGCGTTGTGAGTGCCGGTAAAATTCCAGAAGACATCATGTGAGAGTTCCGTGGCTGGTGCACAGCGTTCTTGACGTAGTTGAAGTACCAGCTCACGTCTCTGCTGCACAACAGACCCTTGACAAGAAAAGGTGAGCGGGTTTCTTTGGACACTAGAAAAAAAACATGCCAAAATAGCAACGTAACAGTTAAGAGGAAAACGTACTGGAGCCACACAATTCAGCTTCAAGACGAGCTATTCACGTGAGTATAAATAGCGGTTCAAAGAGTAACAATCTACGTTCTCGCAACATATTAAAATACTGATGTCTGACACATTATGTGTGGAACACCACAGCATGAAAACATGTAACTGAAACCCCGTGATAAAAAAATAACTTTGAAAAAATAATGTCTTGAAAACAAGCATAAAACATCGCTATTCGGGAACATTTTATAATAACGTACTTTTGATCTGGCAACCAGTAATCGACAGAGTCGAGTTTGAGCACAGTGATGAGCAAACTCGGTCAAAACAGAGGCGGACTTCAAGAGCTGAGGTAGAGAACGAATCTCCACAGCTAGAAGCGTCGATGCATCACTTGACGTCTCTGGTGCCGTAAGCTAGAACACTACCACTATTACGGTGGAACCGTTGTAGTTCTTAAACTTTCCGAGAATACAACAATTATCAATCTTAAGAGCGATGAGCGATTTTAAATAAACACTGAAATATATTAATATATTCTAATATAATAATCTATTCATTCAATAATATAATCTATTCATTAATTGGAGCAAAGGTGAAGGTGATTAAAAGCAGCAAGAAGACGCTTGAGCTCACATCGTGGTCACTAGAGGATAAATCTACAACAGTGTGTGTTTGAATCCAATCTTGACTACCAGCGGAACTCGTTCGACGAATGGCATTGGACTTAGTTTGTATTCGTTTAGCACATTCGTGAATTAGTTCTTGTAAAGCCTATAATTGAAAACGATTACTACTACTCGTCAATGACTAAGCGAAACAGCTCATAGACAAAAAAATTTGGACGACAAGAATCCAGATGTATTCGCATACCAAAGTGTACATTGAAGAGATTTTTTCCCACAGAATAGAATAATGAATTGAAATAACGAAAGCGAAAGTTGAAAGACACAGACCTGAATTCTTTTGCAGAAATGGAAGAATTCTCGAGTAACATCACTGACTGTTTTTAACCAATCTTGGAACTTTAGGCGACGGACCGGTTCGCCGAGTTGACTGTAACAACCAAGGTTATGTCATTACCTGTAAAAACTATTGTAGATCTAAGTTGTGCTGGATCCGTTGTGGTGTCCTTTTCCAAAACAGGACGAAGAGTATGAAATCGAAAAACCGACTGTTATATTATATGCAGAGAGTGGTTTTTCTCACGCAAGTTCTACAACAATTTCCCAACCCCGGAGGGATGAAAGGGCTTGTGAGTACGGAGCGGGATATATATAATGCTCCGAAGTGCTTACGCATGGGTACAATGCACCTTGTATGCCGCCTGTTGTGATCAATTCAACAGGAAGTACCTTTGAGACAGTTTGGACTGGTCTAAGGAAAATCAACTCTACTCTACCACAGGCTTAAAGCATTCTAATCCCCAGGTTCTTGTGTTATGCAGGGCTTCTTTTTCGCTAAACGTTGTTTAAAAAAAGCGTCTTTAGTAAAAGCTGCGACGCTCTTGGCGACGTCTAAGCAAAATTGGTAGCATCGGTAATGTTCGCCGAATTCGCTCAAGTTAAACACAATATAGATTCATTATTGGATCGATCACTGTTCCTTTTCTTTCGTGAAATTGTGTCGTAGCTTGGAAGGCAGAAAGCAGTCCAGGAGGAACGGAATGAGTAAGTAAGTACGGTGAACTAACTAAAGTTCTTCAGTAAAACTGCTCCACATTTGCACCACAGCTTAAGAAACGTGTGTGCTTTAGACGGCGTGTAGTCGAATGAATCCCTTGTGATTTATCCCTGCTACATCCACTTCAAGTACTTCTGCTGCTACCTTTGTTCATGCCAAGTCTGTGCTCACTACCATCAGTCGGTAATAATTTAACTAAAGTGCTACCTCCCAAACTCTAGACACATTGTACTAGTCCAGAACCATTTAAAGCGAACTTTGTTTCTATTAGAAAGGACTTGACATATAAACCTAGCATAGTTTAGAAAAAAGTCCAAACTATTGAAAGTATTTATCCTCAACACCTTTTAGTTAAAGGTTAAGACCTGAAACTTGGAAGGAACGAATAATAATACTTAAACCTGCACAAAAATGTATGAACCTGCATCTATAACTGACTTGAGTGTTGGGTCGAAATCGGTAAGATCTAGACCACTTTCGACAATGTGAAGTTTGACTTCGTGTCGTAGAATTCCTTTCATGGCTTCCATTATTTCTGTTCGTATAATAGACATAAAACCATATCGGCGTACTTGTACTAGTCCCATAATTACACATGACAACTCTCCCTAGAGCTTGTAAATAAAAGAATGAAAATTAGCACAAAACAGAAGAACTACAACGATGTGAACTCACATCATAGATCATTAAGACACCATCCTCAGGTTTCATTCCAAATTCTTTCTGTATTAAAGAGGCAAAGTCTTCAAGCATCATTCGACCAATAACACCATACAGTTCAGTCAGTTGCGAACCGAGATGTCTGTAGGTAAAAAACGGATACCAGTTTCTCACACGTTTTTAGTTCTTTAGGCTGACAACTCCAGAACTTTAAGTAACCTGAAACATTGAACACCGCTAAGTTCGGAGCTGAGGACTTCTTCACTGGTTTCGATGCACTCGATTGCTTTCGGATAATCACTTTGATTAAGCAACATTTGGACAGTTGACTGAGCATCACGTAAGCAAGCCACGTCCTGTTATTATCGTACAACTTCTTTGTAAACAGTGAAGAATAATTTGAAATTCATTTTCCACCACATAGTCACAATATAGAAATTTCAGGCATCCTATCGTTATAAATTTGACCACCATATCCCTAGCTCCAGCTCGTCTTCTCCAACACATTCGGGACAATGAGCATTGTTTTCGATGCACATCAAGATACCTTGAGAGTCCGACTCTCTCGAGCCCAGTCCTAGTATCGAAGGGCACTCACCCCCTCCATCTGGGTTGAGTGAATGCAAATAGCTTGGAAATAATGGCTGTTTTCGTTTTGAATCCTCATACAACACGAGCTTTATTAATTACAAAAAAGATTCAGTCGTGATTTTTTTGCAGCCCAAAAAAGTATTTTTCTTAATTTTTCTGGGTCAATGGGCATACTTCGAACATTAATGAAAAGAAAAACCGGAATTTAGTCTAGGAAAAGACGATGGCGTTCCTGAATGGACCAGTGGTTTTTGTGGTCATCAAACTGGTGTAGAATTTTTAGGAAAATAAATTTTGTCCTAAATTTTGTGAGAATTCTAATCCTCAACATAATTAAATGAAAGACTATACAAAAACTGTGATTGCACTTGAGTACATATGACAAATCCTGTAAAGTAATGTCAAGTTTCCAACTTTCCACTAGTCTATTATGAAAGAATTTTTGGTACGTTGTCGAAACCTAGCCAATGTAAATCCAGCTTGCTCACAGCCAACTGAATTTTTGATCTTTTCAAAAATTCTAAAGGTGCTAAAATTCTCAATTTCTAAGCCAGGAAGTGACCTTTCAAACATAATTCTACATTGTAAAATCTAATGCACCTCCCAAACGGATACCGCCTCATCGTGGCTGGGAGGTCTACCTGGGTGCCGGGCTGCGATGTACAGAGCGACGATTCATCTCCCGGCATGGTCTCCTAAGCTAGGGAGGTTCGGCGTTTCCATCAAGAAGCCCATCTACGAGTAAATCAATATCAGGATGCACCACTGTCCCGGAATTAAATTAGTCGCATGATGGCAAGTCTCCCTCTGATCCACAAGAGCGGCGACTGCCTGTGGAGGTGACAACCTGGGGCACGCTCTGACTAGGCCGACCTCGGGACTTCAAGGAACTACAATGGTTAAGCCAGCAAAACTCCGACAAATGGAAACTATGCTGGTGCCCGCACAACCAGTGAAAACCGGTCATCCAAGTAAGTAAGAAATCTAATACAAGCAGTTAAACCAGAAAGCTCACAAGTAGTTTCGCGAGTAACATATTCTTCTTTTCACGTTGTTCAAACAAACGTATAATTTTTCGTGTTCGTTCGCAAATCATTGTCGCGACTGATTGCAAGTTTACACTGCAAAACACAATAAGTAATAATTAAAACAGACCATTAAAAGTTCAAGAATATAAGTCAGTGTAGATGAATTGCAAACCGAATTTTCCTGATATCACTCATCGAATCAGCTAACTCCTCATGAAGACCGCCATAACTATGAACCATTTGCCAAAATGATTTCGACTTTGTCACAAGTCGTGTTGCTAGCCGGGAATCCACCACATCGTGAAGAGACTCCAAGTGAGCGCTCAGGGTCTGATAATCGCGAAACACGCCGGCAGTCTGGAAACGATGACTTTTTACAAGTACTTTCAAGAACGGTGACCATAACTAATTTTTCAAATGATCCAAAATATCCCAGGTCAGAAAGAAGTATGCAGTTTTCTACGAAGTAATCTAGTGATTTCTAAGGAGTTGTATCAATAACTTTAACAAACAAGTTGAAAATTAACCGATAAAAGAACTTCACGACTGCGACCATGTCGTTAAATTGGAATATTACTCGCGAAGAAAAGGGAAATATCCTTGTTCTAAATGTCCCGACCAGTAATCTGTTCGTAAAACACTGACAAATTAACTGATATCAGGTGACTGAGCACTCGTCAACATTGGAAACTCGTATTTTCTTTTAAACATTAACAATAACACACCAAAAGGGTACGATAGATAACGGTAAAGCTCCATTGCTAATTAAGGCTGCACTTAAAGACTCGTACCTTTGGTTCGTCATCACTTTGAGTTGAAACAGAAGTTATAGCGCGTCCAGATTTTGTAACTGTGAGGGGATCAGGGATCCCCTTCGGCGGAACCATGAACATTTCGGTGAAACTTCGCTGGTCAGATAAACGAAACGATGGGTTCATCAACATCTGTAATGTTATTTTTAGTGTGGTGAAAACCCTATTTATTCCCTTTTGGAACAAGCTTAAGCTCAAATGACCAGAGCACTGAAGATTTAAGTTCCACATCAAAAAATTTCCAAGGTTTGCATATAATAATGAATAATTTTCGAGCACTTAATAAATGTCTTACTGCCACATTTCCTCATTTTGACAAATTATGTTGCGCATAGTCCCAACGGTTCATAGCCTCATCGTGGCTGGGAGGTATTCCTGGGTGGCCGGTTGTGATCTACAGCGGGGATTCATCCTCTAGCAGAGATCCCAAGTTGAGGAGTTCTGCGCTTCCACCACGAAATCAAGCTAAACCAAACCAGGATCCACCACCGTCTTGGTATCAGAGTCGCATGGTGGCAAATCTCCCTCTGATCGACAAGGGCGGCGACTGCCTACAGTGGTGAAGCCCTCAGGCGGACTTTGGCCTGGCTGACCCTGGGATTCCAAGGAGGCACAATGGTTAAACCAATAAAACTCCGAAAAGTGGAGATTATGATGGGCCCTCACGACTGGCGAGTACATGAGATCAAAGTATCCAGGTAAGTGTGTTACATATATCTGCACATATTTGATGCAATCAAATATTTTAGAAATACATGTTCTCCTAATGGTTCACCGCATCTCTAAGTGTCAAACAGATAAAATGAATTTATGGCCAATATTCAAACATGAGATAATAAGACAACGTCCCATGTCCTGATATCTCAGCCATAGTGGCAGCTTCTTTATTACATCGACGATCAGCTACACCTCCCTCACCTCACTATAAAAAACAACAGCTGCAGTTGCTTCGCCAGAACACAAACCGAATAGCGTTCAATCCGTTACATTCTCCACCGATATGCAATATTATTCTCCAAACTTTTTCTTCTCCAGTAAATTGCCACCACTAGTTCGATCACGAACAAGTATTTCCAATTTGGATATAGATTCTCTCTACTGGTAAGTGATGTGTGATTTATGCGGTGATTTTACCTACTCGTTAATACCGTGTATTTACCTACATGTGTGTCTAATAAGTTGTATACACTTGTGGTTCAATCGTGGCCGGCTCCGTAATAATGTGAGAAAAGTAAATTAATTACACTGATCCAAGCTCTTCCCACGTATTTCTATCTCAAATCACCATTCTAGTTAGAATGACGTACCTAATATAAGCGTCACCGTACCGATTTCTCGACAAATGGCCAGAGTTTTTCGATAACTTAAAGGTATTCAGAACTTCGCAGACTTATAAAAAGAATTTTTTATACCGCTCTAAGCACATATATATGTATTTGTTTAGAAACCTAGTTTTTAAAAAAAGGAGGGAAAATTTATGTTCAAAAAATTTCGCCAAGGCAGCAGGTGCTAATAATTACGCCTGTTTTTTCAACCGTTTTGTTTTTCGTAATGATACACTCCGACGGAGACGAAAAAAACGTTTTCCAAGGCAAAATTTCAGACAAATTGCGCTTAAAAGTTATTCAGGACTTAATCATCTGTTCAAAAGTTACTGCTTTACTTCCCATGTGCACCGTACTATATCAAATGAGGATTAAACTTTCAATGTTTTTCATCAATAAGCAGACACGAGGTTGTTAATATATTGTGTTCGAGGCAATTGTGTTCTAATAAATTCTATATTAACAACCTCGTGTCTGCTTATTGATGAAAAACATTGAATTATCAATTAATGCCGAGGTTAACAGAAAGTCGGTCATGGGGATTAAACTTTCGTTCTAGGCTAAACTTTGGTTGCCGGCTGAAACATCTTTTTATTCCATTTTACACTGTGTCATTTCAAATTACATAATCCCATTCTGTTAGCGATCTCAATATGGTTAATCGAAATTGTCCCCAAATAGCATATAAAGGGGAGGTGGTGGTTAAAAATGCACCAAATTTGATCATGTAAAGCTAGCGATGGGACCAATGCGGACGTAGTCGGTATGCTCCCTATCTCTGCTATCCAGGACTTAGACATTTTGCATGGCCCTAAACATATTTATGCCAATCAGGCCAAACGGTTGCAATTTAGTGACTGATAAGTAAGTGGGAAACAGTTTTACAGTCGCGTCAAACAAATAAGCCTACGACTATACCCAATCGGAGAACCTAACATGCTATCTGCAAAATTAACCAGCACTGGCACAACTCAGCGATCTACATTTGTGTACTTTCTAGCCAAGAAGACAGGAAAAGTTCTCTACACTGAAAGGACATAACCAACTAGATAACTGTAAGGTGTGATAAGGAAAGAAAATTACATTAACGATGACCACTTGAGCTACTTCATGATTATCAGGAACTCAGATGACGCATGTGACTTATGTGACCATTCCCTACAGCACAGGCTATAATAACACCGGCCACACCACTGAATGCCTAACTAAACGAAAAATGAACTGTACTACCCTACCTTTCAAGACGACTGTTAACCTTTTCTCGCCCTAGGTCGTTAAAACCGAAGTCACATGAAAATTCCATACATTTATAGCTCGAGAAAAAACTATTTATAAGTGAATTTGGACGATTCTCACCCGAACTTAGCAATTTCAGACATTCCTATCAAATTAGTGCTACAGGTCTCGCAAATAGACAGTGAAAGAAAACAAAATGCGCTAAACGAATCAAGAAAAATGCGGTATAAGACGTTCCTCACAAATTGTGTTTAACGGAGCGAGCTAGCTTAAGACAATGTCACTGGGTAATAATGTACTTTCTTATGAGAAGTTTTTCATACACTATTAGGGATATTTTGGAAACAACAAACCGCTGAAGTACAAATGTTAATGGACTTTAAAAACACCTATTTTGAGTCCAAATATTGCTTAAGGCCTTATAAAAAAAAACTAGATCAATATGATTTGATATCTATAAAAGGTACTAGAGTAGAACCTAGTATTCTTCATAATGGAAACGAGTTTCTAGCAGTTTTACAACAATGACTGCCGCAATCAGTTATATTTGAAAGACCAGCCGCCCTTAACACAACAATATACGGCCATGGAACATTCCCATTCATTTTTACAATCTATGCCATGAAACTCTATCGGCAGTATTGGGATGGAGAGTACGGAATCCATTAGTTTCGAGATGACGACTTAAAAACCGAAACAATACTTCGTTTTCTATCACCACTTACCAAAGGCAGATCCCCGGCATCGTCGTCTACACAGGCAGACGGATGTTGTAGAGAAGTTAAGGAGCGTTTTGTCGCATAATATCGTTTGTATATCTAAAATATCAAGGCAGTGATCAATACATTGGAGAAAGGTGCAGAGCACTTCATGTTGGCATAAAAGAGTGAATAGTTGGAAAAAAACTTAAAGTCTCACAAAGCACTCCACAGATCAAGCAGAGGACACAGGATATGACTTCGAAAGCAATTTTGTATTGAATAAATGTCGAAAAGCCAAAACTGTATCGAAAGGATGAACGCTTCAATATCATATATGACCAGGTATAGCCCCAGAGGCAAATCTTTTTTCGATTTGAGTTGGTCTCATTTATCATCCTGTATGAACAGCTAAGGGTCGGTAACATTTCTTAAAACAGTAAGCAAGGTTAATACAACTCTGAAAAGCGAGGCGAAGTCGCCGCAACGCTAGCCAACGAGAAGTGTTAACAACCTCGAGCCGTCTGCATATCAAGGACAGTTCGCAACAATAAAACCTTGTCTTTCTGTCATTCCATGATCAGCAATGTATACTATTTATTGGTATTGTGGTTATAAGGAGAGACGTTTTCGTTTATAACTTCTACGGATCCATATTTTATAAGCACTCAGGTCGATCTGGATAGAACATGCTCTGATGGTAGCTTAAAGCACTTTAGAATATTGTTGTAAATATGAGTTCTAGAAATAGTTAAGGAATAATAAACTAAATGCATTCACATGCACTTCACAGAAAACGTACATTATGAATGACAATCAAGTTAGAAACCTTTTGCAGATGTCTGAACAATAGGTAATGCCATCTTTCGAGTATATAGGATTACCGTTTAATCAAATATCACGCTAACCTTTTCACTGTTCTTCGCATACATCACGAATTGTTGATCAGAAATCGGTGGAATCAGAGTTGATCGAGGTATACTAGTTAGAGGTACGAAAGCATCGCCCCAGTGTCGAGTGAAGAAGGTGTTCACTTCGGAACGAGAACGGCCAGGATACGACAGCACAGCAGACAGATTTTGCGTGAAGCTAACAAAAGAACGATGAAATCGTCAACATTGAACAAAAGATTTTACTACCATTATTCTTTGTAGATTGAAGAAACACTAGAGCACACTCTGAAAATTATTGCACCAATGAAGTTTGAAACAAAAATGACCACTTTAAACCATACACAATGTCAGATAAGTTGAAGAAAGCTGGAAAGGTACAAGATAGCGCCTAACATTTTTTCTTTCGTTATAAAACCACATCTTATAGTTCTCATCTTCCATCTTTTTGATGTTAACAGTTTCTAGCTAAACTCTTCAGAGAACAATGAACTCGCTATAACAGATTTAACACATTATGCATTGTGTACAATGCATTTGATACGAAAATAATAGCTGCTTTCAATGCTACCAATGTGTTTCAGCTCATAAGAAACTTGATCCATTGAAATAAGAACCACTAGAATCTACAAGTCATTCCCAACCAGATACAAATGCTGCTATTCTATCCAGAAGCCCTAATTTTCTCGGGGACAGGAGACCTACTTTTCCTTCTTGCGTCAAAGCTCATATTTTGAACAAGAAAGCAATTAAATGAGGATTTCGTCAGCAAATCTAAGTGGTGTTTCCCAGTGTATCCGCTTGAGTTTCAGAATGCCGCTCTTTCCTCAGAAATATAAGAAACTAATTCTTGTTTTCAATTGTTTGAAGCATCCAATTCCAAACGTGTGGAATTGATGGAATCTTCTTTTGTAAAAATTATACATAACGATAAGATAAAGTTCTTTTTATAAATTTGCGGAGTTCTCGGCTTGTAAAATATTCCATTGACCGTGAAATTGTCGCCAAATGTGGAAAAAATAAGCTTCGTGGGTAATATGTTGAGAAAGGAAACCTATTCGAAGAGCTGTCCATTATTTTACTCAATGGTTCAGTACAAGATCTACTTAACACCTTTCTCCACAGGCCGGTCCACCCAATTACGCCCACTGATGAAAACAGACATTTTGTAAAGTGTTTGCCGCCGATTCACTGGTCTCTTCTTTTGTGTATTCACACTATGGCTCACCAAACTTTAGAGACGTCATGTCATTCTTCTCTTGACGATCTTAAAACATTTTTAAAAACCGACCATCATTTCACCTCGACGTGAATGATCAGCACACTTTTCTTAGATTGTTCAGCTTTGTTCAGCTTACACGAGGGATTTTTATAGGTTATATAGTTCTATTCGCTTTCTTTTTAAAACTTTTGCAGAAATCACTTGTAAGGCTAATAATAAAAAAGTGCATTGATCTTAAGATCACTCGAAAACAAATCGTTAAATCGCAATATTTCGTCGTAACTGCATTCAGACCACTGTGATTACCCAATTATTGAAAATTTTGTGAACCATTTTTCCAGCTGAACAAACACCCTATCATTTTTTTCATGTTTCCCCACTTCTTCATTACACGGACTACAAAAAAACCTAGATTGTCTTTCGTTCTTCTTAACTTTCGTACGAAACTGTAGAAGAAGCCAATGTACCGATTATAACTGGCACACCCTGGAAGGAAATATTCATAGAAGTCGGTGATATTGTTCAATGGATAAAGAACAGTTAGCATTTTGAAGATAATGACAGCAAAATTCACATATTCTTAAAGGACATTGGCAAACATTCCTATATACGAGGATTTTTTCGGTATCATAAAAGTCGCTGCGTAGTCTCACGATATGAGACTAAATTAATTGATATACATCGCAGTGAGAGAATGACTAGTTCTCATACCTACTTAAGTACGTCCAGTTTAACGAATGTCTCCGACAATAGTGTTCCATTCGAAAAAAAAAACACTTATTCGTCTAACTGTAACTTCTTCACAGGATGAGTCGCGTAGCAGATTACACTAGTAATCCACCACTACGTAAAAGAAGCAAGATCAACTCATGTCGAGAAGCGATGTTCGGTGAGAGAGCACGTAAATGGGCATTCATTTTCATCGTCTCATTTCTAGGATGCTTGACTATCAAGGATGTCATCGATCTGGTAACAATAGCACTTCACTTTTTTTTAATGAATTTCCATTTTTCTTTAAAAATACATCCAAATATTGTTTGGAGTGAAAAGTAATTTTGTCAGTACTTGGAACTACTTAGATATACAGAATCTTTCTGGGGTTCAAGAATGAAAAAGGAGAAAAAAACATTGACTGTCTCTCCTTTTCTTCCTAAAGCCTATGTAGGCTTCTTAAAATATCGGGAAAAATCGTGCCCAATTTCAACTGAATTTTCCCAATTTAACCACAACGACGGTGAGATATTTGCAAAACTCCGGGTCCCTTGTTTCTGTGGTGGAGAGCGAACGCGCCATTAACCTTTCTCAGAACTAACGCGTTCACCACTACACACGCGAGTCCTTCATTTTGCCTTTCTCTCAGCCATGTTATTGACCTATAGGTGGTATCTTCCAGTTTATTTCTTCGTTGACACGTGTGCTATCGTCTAACACTTACATGACGGCGCTTAATTATGTCTGGCTACAGTGTGGAACGACGCCTAGTTTCATGACGATCGACTTGTTAATAGATAATATTTGTCGATAAGTAGAGGTTTTTGAAGAGTTTACAGCACTACAATGATACAGAGGTTATTTTGCACTATCATTCTAGGGTTATGAATGGATACATGCTATTATTTTCTACATGACACTACGGTCTCCAATACAAGCAAATTGCTGTCAACATTTCGAAGTGTTTTGCAACGTCCGCTGTTGTTGAGTTGTCCATGTTGAGTGTATATTTACACCTTTTACACTCGCCCATTTCATATGATAACTATAATTCAATACGGTAATTAGAAATTAGATCGCTGTCAAAACTCTGGTCAGCGAAGTCTTCAAAAAACAGTTCTTTAGAAATTACCAAGTGCATGCGAGTAGCTTTTTGAGGATCAAGCATGACACATCTGTGTTGGACAGGCTATTGGTTGAGGACAGAAGTGTAAGAGAGAACTTCTGCAAGACAAATAAACCAAGAATTTCAACCAACACAAAAGAATAGGAAGCGACCTTCCTAGAGGTCATACCAGCCAAAATGCCCTACCACAAATGACTGCTATGGTAGTCATGTTGTCGTGATACTTCATAAAAACTGGTTGTGAAACTTTAGCAGAAAAAATAAAGACTGGAAGTAAAGCAATGAAAACTTACCAGAACTCGTGGAAAAGAAGTCAGACAAGTGTCAACCACAATAAATTTTCTTATTTTTTCTTTCATCATTTACGAACTACGCGCATCAATTGGCTGACTGTCGCAACTGTTCATACTAATTAACTGGCGGGACTAACCCTATTATACGACTTCAAAGTGATGATTACTCTAAGAATGACGCACATTCGCGACAACATGACTTCTATGCGAGTCATACAATAAGGAAATTATGGCAGTCATCAGCTTTAACTCAAGAAATTTCAGGCCATAGTGAGTTTCGTTAATGGCAATACAAACCATCGAAGTCAGCGAATTTCTACCCACACTGTAAAAGTTCTCATTTCTTATAATGGAGCAATTCTGATTTTCAGACGCCCACTGCACACATTTGTCCCAGTCTTTTGCTTAAAGGCCGACATTTGAAAAAAAAGAAATCAGTTTGCAGCTGCCATTTTTTTTCCTTGAGAATTATAGAACTCGAGGACCTCATCTTCAATTTGTCAAGATCGTGGTCTTAAAAGTATTCAATTTTGAAAGAGTACTGTACAAAAATTATACAGGTTATTAATGTGACAGAGTGACATCTCTTCTATAAATCTATAAAGCTGCGAATTGCTGAAATACTCTAGTGATCGGAAAATTACTGCCAGTTATCCAAAAACGAGCCTCGCTGCGACAGTATTAAAACCACATGATTACACTGTTATACTAATAAAATGATCTATGGTGCCTTAAAACTGCTATTTGGTTTTGTACAACTCCACATGTTAAAAGTAGAGATAGATTGAAAAATGACTACAAAACTTGTAAACCCCCTTCTAGAATGACCCTTATACTATTAAAGCAAGAGTCGATAATGATAATGATATTAATTTTAATAATAATAACAACAGTAATAACAAAAGTAACTATGACAACAAAGCCGAGCGATGGGCAATGAGTTTCTCTTTTCATCTGCAGCCGATTTTCTGAATATTCTGTGATAGCAAGTGTAACTACTGATTGATTTTATCAATCAATTACTACCAAATTTATGTAACAGAACTAGGTAGTCATGTGATCGGAACCAACAACAATTACGATTGAAGGCGTGGACCACTCACATTAGAGCCGTGCTAGGCGAGCATCGTTCCGTTATATTCGTAAAGAAAAAAAGGAAAAAATCCTCCCACTAACCCAGATATATACTTAGGAAATAATGAGAGCTATTATTTTCTCAATAGGCAATTTTACTACGTCATTCACTGAGCTTGGTACCCTGACTAGCATGAGGAAACAATAGGCAAGATACTATGTAGAACTCTCTTCATACTTTATATCCTGCTAAGGGCCTCGGAAGAACTATAAAAATGGAAAAAAGAAAAAGAGAGTCTGTGTTGGATCCACGATTAGGACCATTCTATGTCACACCCGAAGACATTCTTACCTATGCAAACTGCATTATGAAGACAGCTGGGAATATCATGATAGCTGATCATAAGTACAACTAGGCGCAAATGACGAAAATTCACAAATGTCGAAAGAAGTTATGAATGGGGAAGTTTGTAAAGGAAAATTATCAACTAAAACAGAAAATTCAAGTAAATAGCATTGGAATAACAACAAAACCTTCCAGTTGATTCAACTCTCAAGTATTCAGCAATTCTTTTACCATATGAAAGAAAACTAATTGAAGGTGATAGAATACTGCGGAGAACCGAAGCAGTCTGATATGAATATGGTATTCAACGACTCAATGACTATGCCTAACGTGACATTTTGCATGTCCAAGAAGCAAGCATGGAGTCATTTTAAGATCAACGAGAGCGCTCCTGTGGATGAATGGGACACGATTGTGGATGTGAGTCACCAGTTATTTGTAATGTACCATTTAAAAAATAACAATGCAATAACGTTTTCCAAGCAGATTAAAAACATAAGACGTATAGCATGGAACACGTTACAACAAAGGATAAAGGATGCAATAAGCATTCATTGCAAACTTCTTTTTTAATAACTTACTTGGATGGCCTGTCCTCACTGTTTATGCGGACACAGCACTATCTTCACTTTTTTGGAAATTTGCTGGTTTATCCGTTGTCGTTCCATACAGACCCAACGTCAACCTAGCCAATGTCTGCGCCAGGTTATCACCACCAGATCGTCGCCGCCCTTTGTGGATCAGAGGGAGATTTGCCACCATGTGACTAGTTTGGTACCAGGACGGTGGTGGATACTGATACTCGTTTACTCTTAGCTGGGCTTCCCCATGAAAACGCCGGAGCCGTTCTTAGCTTAGGAGACCCTGCCGGAGGGACGAATCCTCCTGCTGGGCATCGCAGTCCGACACCCAGGAACACCTCCCATCCATGTTGAAGCGGTAAACCGTTAGGAGCTTCTTAAATAACTTCTGTTAAGAAGTTCGAATTACGTTTGCATACACTAGAACGCTATACAATGTGCTCACTTTCATAAAAGGATGAAATAATAAAGTTCTCGATGTTGACCAATCCCTTAGGAATGCGCCATGCATTCGACTTCATAAAGTATTGTGGAGGTGATCGAATACATTTTTGCCCTACGTAAACGCACCTAGTCAATGCTGCTATCCTGCCAGAGAAATATGGTAGCAATCTGACAACCCTGTAGAGATGGAAAACTTCGTCAGCTGAGGATGGGAGATCGAACCAATGACGTGTGTATGGTAGGGTGCCTTTAACCACTGAGCTATACATGTCCTTCATCCCACAAAATTTCTCATTTTCATATATTCTTGAAATAATTGTGTAATTATGGATTGTAAAAATTTTTCCGTTACAAGAAATTCAGGAAGCCCTTGACAACATGACGGAGCACGACAGCTTCATGACCAATACATGGGACCACCGTTTAGTGATGGAAGCATACGACATGGTCGCCACCTTCAACAGTCTTGAACGTGAAACTACGGCGCATGGTTCGGCAAGATCAATACACATCTTCAGAGTATCTCCACGCCTTACTGAGAAAAGAAAAACTTTTGAGGTAAACTGAAATGGCCAGCTTACGTTCCCGCCTAGATTACTTATTCCCTGATGCACTGTGTAGAAGAAATAGCCAAACCTTTCCTTTTGCCCTAGGTACAATCTCTCATAACAACTTAGCTTCAGATTTGAATGTCTCGGAATCTACTGCACCCCGGTTCGCTTTTTTTTAAAACTAAACTACCGAAATTAAGTGTAGTCTTTATCCTCTTACTCTGTGATGTAAAGTGCTACCAACGCTGTGTTACGAAATAAGATTCCTAAGCAAAGAAAGCCAAGAAACACATTTTATAAGGTTTTTCGAAAATTAATGCAGGTTAAATTTGCTACAAATTAAGATGCTGAAACAGCAATTTCGAGCAATTTACTTCAAGGAATTCAAGCTCCGTCGAAGTGCAGAGTAAACCATTCGATAACTATTGGAAAAGCATGGGGCCAAGGTAATGCTAATGAATACAAAGCGCGATGTATGTTTAGAAAATTCCAATGTGCCAAAGAAACTGGACATATGAATGCAGCGGCAAATGAATGGAAATCTTTAAAAAACTGCAGTTTAGAAGTATGGTCAGCATTTCTACGTAACAAGAACGACCAGTTTCTCGACTGTATTGTGATGTGTAATGAGAAATTGATCTTCTGTGAGGACCTGCGATGACGGGGTTAGTGGTTGGATCCGTTTCTGGAGATTTTGTGACATAAGACGATGACAGGATCCTTTATGATAACCAAAGACGATCGGCTCCATGGATGGCCCAGAAGCACCAGAGCACATACCAAAGACGAAATTTGCGCAGGAACACAGTCGAGCTGGCGTTTTGGAGTTTTGTTGCTGATTTAGTGTATCACAGCTTCGTGGTTCGGGTGGAACGACTAAGACAAAGAAAGAGGCCAAAAAATAGACGATATGCACCAGTAACTTCGTTTCTCCCAGAATAAGTCAACAGAAAGGAATTTACAATTCTTAAGTGCGCCCAAATGTAGCACAACTGATGTTTCGAAGGTTTCCGACCTCTCGCTACCGACTACCGCTTCTTCAAGCATCTCGACGGCTACCTGTGAGAAAAATACTTCAAGAACTAAGTCCAGGCCAAAACTCCCTTCAAACGATTCCATCACCTTCAGCACCCCAGAGACTTATGCAACTGGGTTTTGGCATCTATGGTTCCTACTCCGATTAATAAAGTTTATTTTGAGCAGAGATATGTGACTTTAAGCAAACAACTTGAAATCCTGCACTGATTTTCGAACAACTAAATAAATGCTTAGATTTAAGAAAGCGAAAAAAAATCCAAGCGAAAAAAGTTGAGTAAGCGAACACAGGAAATGGGGATAATAAAAAACACGTTACAGAAGTGGATGGATGTCCTGAAATCTCGAAACGTCACATTCGAAGAGTTCACGCAGAAGACTGGCACGGAAGTTCTACGTCGATCTATGCAGCGCTTTCAACGTACAACATTTAATGAAGATTTAGTGATTAAAACCAAACTAAGAACGTCCTGGATATCTCAGATGCAAATCTGTTTTCAACCATGGTTTGACCAGGATAATTTCTACCCTATTGAAGACCAAGTTAGCATTTACAAATATCTTGACAGTCGAAAAACATAGAATATTGCTTTAATTTGACATGACTTTGTCCAGCACTTCATTTAGAGAACTTCAGGGAAACTTCTTCACCATGTTACTATCTCACAACGCCGAAAATCTAGATGGAGAACACCTAGAATGTATGAGTGTAGATTTTCATGGGCGTCCTTCATCCCTTAATCGATTCATGGAAGGCAAGGGAAGATCGAGAGATGGATTTACTTCTGAGGTTGGGAGAAAACGAGATTAAGGAGTAGCAATAACTGTGTATGCTTAATTATTTCAGCTCTGTGCCGGTCAACGCCATGAAGTTTCGGTTGAGGTCCGAGCACTTTATCAGATGCTAGAAAATGACGAACCTGGAACGTCGTGCCGAAACGTCGAAGATGGCGAAGATACCGAATTCGACTGCAGGTCTCGTTGCCGTATGAGTATGATTCGGGTGTGTTTGTTTACTGCATCCAACTTTTTCACAAAGTTAAACAACCATAATATAAATAGACCGGTTTCGAAAACAAAATGACTGCGCTGATCGTTTCCAGCCGTGCCGTGTTTTCAAGGCCGTCTTATCCAATTCATAAGATCACTCACGATTTTTTAATACAATTTTTAATTCTAAACTTCAGGAAATGTGCAACTGCACACCACTGTCCCTTAGTTATCTTGCCAATAATGATTTGGACCAATATCCGCTATGCGATTATACCCAATGCGAAATAGAGTAAGCACATTATTTTTGTATTACTGCCAAAGCTTTCGAGTAGTAATAACTGAACTATTCCAAGATAGGTATTATATAGAAGAAACTTTAGTGTACAAAAAGGAAACTACTCCGATACTGAATGTGTAAATGGTTGTTTCCGTAACTGTCGCCAAATTCGATACGAACTGGATCACGAGGTACAAGGAAAGATGGTCCGACCAGGTTTGCATAAGCACATAACATGCTACGAAATCGTGGAATTGAATTGAAATTTTTCACAGACTCCTCCATTTCTTTAAATATTGCCTCTCTTCTAGTAGCAAATTACATTTTTTTCAATTGAAAAAATCTGAACACTGTATAGGTAAACTCTACCCAAATTCGGTGACAAAAGAGTGAGTACGGTGAAGTTCGACGTCGAGAGTTCATCCTCAAGGAAGTATCACGCATCCACACTATGTGGACGCATCCACACTATGTGGATGAATCCACCTCCTTCTGACAAATCTGGGTTGACGACTGTGTATTATGATTCCTTAAAGCTACGGCATCCTTTTCTTAGAAATCGAAAGAAGAAGCTCTGAAGTTAGAGAGAGGTAGAAGGGAGAGAGAGAGAGAGAGAGGGAGGGAGAGAGAAATGGATTGACAGAAAGAAAACAAATCACGTATTATGAAAATATAGCAAACACCGTGAATGACGCACAACCTTTTAGGCGACTCCGGAGCTTACGAAAATGTAAAAGAATTGTCCTGTTTTCAATTTTTTATAGGGAAAATTCTTACTACATCTTCGGATTATTATGGTGCTAAAGGAAAGAAGAAATTCCCAACTTGATCAGATTGCACCGTAATCCATAGTGAGTAGCGGCAGTACAAGAAGGAAAGGTAGTACTTAGCCCAGCAAACAATCATTTAGAACAGTCGCAATGGGAACATCGTGAACATATGCTTCAAAATCATCTCTTCTGAAACAAATTAGTTCCATCTGCTTCTTCATCGATAAGAAAACGGCCTCTAATCTAGTCTTTACACTGTACAGTTCCCGTCCGACTGACACAATCGCACAAAAAGAATCGCACTCTTTCATTACACCACTCTATTAAGATTTGACTCTTGACGACGTAAATTTGGATGAAATAATGTGCTCTAGATCTGACGCTGATAAATCTGAACTGGGGTTCATTTGAATATCTCACAATGGAACAGCAATGGAAGTACTCAATCACTGCATTTATTGCAGCACTTGGAGGTTCCATTGGAATGTGGCTTGGACTAAGTATTCTGTCATTAATTCAGGTAACATACGGTTTGCCACTAGCACTTTTCCTAATTATTGCCACTCACTAATTACGATAGAATTGTTATCATTACTATTTCAATATTATTGCTATTATTAACATCATTGTATTCACTGTTAATCACCACTAATTAATTACTCTTTGTTATGACGAAGCTGATGTTTCGGCGGATTTCGCCTTCCCCAGCGACAGTGCTTTATCACTTTCTCTGTTTGGTTATGGAGGTGTTTCGCTCGGGAGATTGAGACCAATTCGACCTTTCCAGGCTCTGAATAAGGCGAAATTCGCCGAAACGTCAGCTTCTTCGCAATAAAGAAATAAAATAACACTTCGTGTTTGCTCAACAGGAGTATAAAAATTATTTGGTCAATGCCGAGGTTAATATAAAGTCGATCGTGGGAATTACTAACTAATGCATTTGTTAGAAGTGCTTTGTAATACACACTGGATCGGTCGCTGGTTCGATTCCTCTACCAAAGGCTCATCAAGCAATCTATCACCATGCTTGATGAACTCGATTGTGCAGCGCTTTCTTTAGGAATTGATTAGCACCGAAACATTTAACCTTTTCTATGGCTTTTAATAGCTACTAGCAATCATTTGTCATGACACTATTGTTATCATTACTGTTATATTTTTAATATTACCCCCACTACTAGTACGTAATGACTAATATTGTGCCATTAATCCAAGTAACTCAAAAAGGAAATGTACACGACTTTTTTAAGGGAGGAACCTACTTGTACACGTATTGCACAAAAAGAGTTGTAAAGGAGAAAATACTAAAAAAGATCTCCGAGCAGCATAGCCGCCGAAAAGAAAGCAAGGTGAGAGAATTTTTAAAAAGATTCTTCTAATATGCACCACAATTATTTCCTAATCCTCCCAACAGCTTACCGTCTCATCACGACCAAGAAGTGTCCCTGGAGCGTAGGCTGCGATGGACAGCGGGGGCATTCATCCCCCAGCAGGGCCTGTCAAGATGACAAGCAGTCCGGTGTTTCCGCTGGGAAGCCTGGCTAAGAGTAAACCAATAGCAGGATCCACCACCGTCCAGGTATCAAAGTAGCATGGTGGCAAATCTTCCCCTGATCCACAAAGGCGGCGATTGCCCATGGTGGTGACGAGTTGAGGTAGACTTTGGCTAGGCTGATCATGGAGTTGCAATGAATCACAATAGCTAAACCAGAAATCTCCGCAAAAATGGAAACTATGTTAGGGCCCGCACAAGCAGTGAAGAGGGCCATCCAAGTATCCAAGTAAGAAAATGACACTGATATGTCCATTTTTCTACCACTCTCTTCCATTAAACTAGTGAAAAAGGATTTAACTGATCCCTTAGATTAGAGAAATTTCTGTTCTAAACAAAAATAAACGGTCACCAGACGGCGAAATAGTAGAAGAAGAATTTCTGGAACCTTTTTTAGGTCTTTCTAATTCTGTTCAGCAAACTATTCAATTATTATACAACTATTCAATTAATTCAACTACTTTGAATTATTCAATTAATGCCGAGGCTTATAGAAAGTCGGACTTGAGAGTTACTTTTTTAGGTGTCAGATATATGTTTGCGATTCCTACCTAAAAATATACTCTCCATTTCATTTTAACTAACTTTTGTCAGCTCATTTTTCTTTCCTTCTCTATGCCATTATATATTTCAGCTATCTGGAGTGAGCGATATACGTGATCTAGCGTTATCACCACCATCAATAACAACAAAGAAGATATCGATTGGAGCTAATCCTTTCGAAAATCCGTTTGGCGCACTTTCACATATGGCAACCTACGAAGTAAATGTAAGCGCCAATATATCACTGCTTTTTTTCAACTATGCTATTACAACAAATATAATAAGAAAAGAAAAACTCTTGTTATAGCGGCGCAGCTGTTCAAAGTTCCACACCATAAAGGAAAATTCCTGCCAAAAATTTGAAGTAGATTACTGTTAAAACCTTATACACAGACTACCAACTTACATCAAAACATGTTAGTTGTCTAATATATCAGTACTTAACACTAAAGGTATAGCGAATTTCGACACAAGTAGTTCACACATCAAGCATCCATCTAGAAATATCCACGCAACGTCGTATTTTTTCAGGAAGCTCCTCCACCTGGATACAGCCGCAATCCTAATCCGACTAAGACACAAATGAATTGAAAACAAACTTCACTTAGGGCGTTACTGTGATCTTGACTCAGTGATATCATGATATGCACTCATACTGGGATTTTATTTTCAATGTTAATCATTTTACACTAATAGTATAAGCGGTTACTTCATAATTTCTACACGGTTGTGAAAATGTATTAAATTCTATGTTAAGTAAAACTTTGGAAATAATTATAGATACTACTTGCTTCCATAGCAAAAAAACTGACCTGGATAGTGTGAACTCTTTTTCGCAATGATGTACGTTGTATCTTAATTGTAACAGAGAAACTGAAAACATTAACCTCAAACAATCTCATAAAGAGAGGAAAAAAGCATACGCTGTAAAGAAGAAATAAGTGTGGAGAAGAAGGCAACGATAAAAAGGATAAAGCTCTCGGCTTTCATCAATCCCTGAGGGATGCGCTATGCATTCGACTTCATTAAGCATAGTTGGAGGTGACTGAATTCATACATGGCGTATACAATGACTAGCGGTAATCTACCGATGAATGGAGCCAATGCTGCTATCCTCCCAGACAAGTCTGGTACCAAGTTGCCGACCCGGAACGGATGGAGGGCTTGGTGAGTCTGGGCTGCCTAGATCGATCCCATGTGTATCGCAGGGCTCCTCCGACCACTGCACCACGCGCCCTCCCTTTAGTAACGATAGGGAAATAATAAATATGAAATGCTTACCACAATGGATGCGACGTACATGTGCTTCATAATCATCGTCAGAAACTCCTTCTAGCGGTAGCTTTTTACAAACGTTGTTTTCGCCATAACTAAAGTGCATTTTTCACTTCTTTGATTACCACTCTTTATAATGAGCAAATAATTTATGACTGCCGAGTACAAACAACAAAATGTTATCAAATGCAGTATCAACGAGATCTTAGAAGACATTATTGAGTAAACCACCTATTTTGACCACTACAATTCGAATACAGGTATAAGGATGCACGAACGAAACTTAGCGAAACCATAGGAAAAACTTTACTCTATCAGCCTATGGGCACATACGACACCACTTACAGCATGTTACTAGAATTTCTGAAACTACTAGAACTTCAGTTGGTTCCATAGATGCAATACAGCTCAGTCTCAAGTCGTGATAAAAGAAACGTTTAGCAAGCTGTTGGTTCGTAACGATTTTGAAGACAACATGCGCCTACAATATACAAGACAAGCTGTAAAAGATCAGATCACTTTTCAAGTTTATCAGTAAAAGTTCCCAGTAAATCTGCTCATCCGGTGTCAATGACAAGTCATATTGACAGACAAACGTACGTAAGTGTATCGACAACGATGAAGCTGATGGACGATTTTTTAGACCAGGGGAGGGCCAAATCACCGTTTATTAGCATGGCAATAATTTTTGTTTCAGAAACCGCTCTACAGGCATTTGATTGGCACATTCAGGTGTTCCTAACACATGTATGACGTATGCATTTGTACCACTGCATACAAGAGCGGACAGAGCTAGTAGTATGTATTGGTTTATATGTATATTACTTCCGACTGTTTATTTTGTTGCAGAGTTTATTTACCATATTTTTTGCATCCAGTCGACGGCTCATTCAACACAGATTTTGTCCCAAATGTGGTCCTTGAAGAATTATTCTCTACATCAACCAAGTTATAAAAAAAACTTTCCCAATTTTGGAAAATGTGAGGCACACATCGCAAGTGGTGGAGGGTTAGGCGTAGTTAGGTGTATGCATAAAGACTTGACAAGCAGGTTGCATACCAAAAGATAGGAATAAGGCAATTAAAGGCGATACTATTCGCAGAAACTAAGGCTACAGGTGGTCGAAAACAGCGACAACCCGAAGAAGGTGTTTGTTGAGGATAGTGACCAAATGGCACCATATTTTCGGTAACTCCGATCAAGAAGAAAGTATTATGTCAAATTTACCATCACATTTCTATAGGTACATAGGGATTTTCGACGTCATAATTTAGGTATAGATAGGTCTTTGATTTATTTACTCGGACTCGGTAGTATGTAGTAAATATATGAGGTGTGTATTACCAGAATGCCCAGAAAATATTGGTAGACGAGTTTATTCGAGATCTGAAAATTGTTTACGTTTGACTTCGAAAAATGAGTCGTCTACAGATACATTTTCAACTAGCCATAAAGGACAACGTTTTCAGTGCTGATCAAACCTTCAATGGAGGTGTATCCTGCATTCGACTTCATGTACCGTAGAGGTGATTAAATGCATATCCGGTTTATACAATTACTTGGCGTGGCCTACCAATGTATCAATCCTGTGTTAGTTTCTTCTTAAAGAAATCTTGTACGAATTTGCTGACTCCAGAAGGATGGAAGTCTAGACGAGACCGGAGTGCGGGATCGAGTCAGCGACCAGTGCGCATTGTAGGGCATGTTAGAAGATTGTAAATAGTATGTAGAAACTGGTATGAGAATTATGCATTATAACGTAAATGTTTTCTGAGTATGACCTCCAAATAGGTGAACATTTGTGGAAGCAAGTGCTTATAACCAATATGTATCCAAAGATGGATGGGATAAATTGGTGAATGTGCACTGGACGAAAGCCTAGCCCTCTCTAAAACTACAAATACTACTAGCCCAATACAAACACTATTAGCCTCCTTAATAGTTCACTATTTCACTTTAGTAAAAAGGTGTACTAAAAGCAGAACGTTTGAGTGTAAATATGGAACAGACTAGCACCGTTGTCAAAACAACCTCTCGTTGCGAAATAAAATAAGAAACTCCTCCAAAAGACGGTTTCTTCCATCTTACCAAGTGTGGGAAACAGTTTTTCTGAGTGGTGCACCAGTCAATGTTAGATAAGGTATCAATTAAACACAGAAACACAGCAAAAAATTTGGTATGGGAACTTAAAAACAACCTG